AAAAAGTGGAGAGAATGAAAAGGTTGAAAATGGAATAAAAGAGAAGAGCAGAAAAGAAAAGGACGAAAAGTGACCCGTATTAAATGAGAATAGAAAAGACAGAAATGAAATTTGAAACAAATTCAGAAATTTCAACTTTTTTTCGTTTTCAAATGATTATAAGAAACAATTTAGATGAGCTACATTCCTTGCTAATTTACATTCTTACAATATTTTTAAAATATTTTCCGTCCTATGTACTAAACAGAAACTATCGATTCAGAATTATTTATCAAAATGTACAACAGATAGATCTTCCAAAAAGAAACTTTTCACGGAATACATAACAATTCACCCGCTTTGCATAAAATTAGCTGTTTTAAAAATTCGTAAAAATATTCACACTGTCTAACAATACTATAAAACTTGGCGATTGCTATCATAGCAATTTTGCTATTTTAACAATTATTAACTTTATTGTTTGGTTTGCATAAATTCCATATTTATGTCAATTATAAAAATTAAAAGTTAGGATGAAATTGAATTTATTTTCACAGCAATCTTTCTAAACTTCCTGTTCAATAATTTTCGCTTGAAATTAGAATTAAAGGAATCAAATTTGAATGGAATATTGAAATCAAAGATATTATAGTGAAACTAAAATTATTTTTACATTGCCACAATTGTAAAATAACAATAAAATGAAAATTGGCAATACAGTGGAAAAAGCAATGAAATGGAAATTCGAGTGTCTCTATTTTGATCTTTTTTTTCTTTATAAGAGAGCACAGAAAACGGGAACTGTAATTCCAGTTATTGGAAAACACAAAATTTAACAGTTTTGAATCGATCACAAAATTAAAAAATGAAAGATTAAATGATATATATTTTCTGGTTAATTATTGATCGATAAAATAGTACGTCTCTGAACAAAAAAAGGGACAGTTTGGAAGTTTATGAACAACATTTTTACATTAAATTAGTTAAAAAAATTATTGAAAACAAAGTCGAAGTAAATCAAAAATCAAATTAAACTTATTTTTCATTTCAAATTTACACTTTTTTCTCATGCACTTAAAATAAACAGCACAATTTCACTTCGCACTAAATTTTAACCCAATTTAGACTGTCCTTTTATTACTAATAAATATGAAAAATAATGAAAATTATTTTTAATATTATAACAATACAAATAGATTGTAAACAGTGAAAAACATTGCCATTTAAATGGGCAAATGATTCACTGTTCAATATTTTCTGCAACTTTCCTTTTTTGTTTATCGTTTACTGAAGTGAATGCTTCTCATGAACACATAGTTTTTAAACATTTTCGAACAAAAAAAAAATAGGAAAAAAGTCTCTGATGACCTTTCTAGAAGTCAAATCCTCAAAAAACAAAATTGGATGCCTTCAAATGACAATGTCATTGTTTGTTCCATATGTTTTCAGAGTTGAAGATCAAATCTGACCTTGAAATTAAAACAGCCTTATTTTCCTTCCAAAACTTCCAACTTCAAAATCCAAATCCAAAATGGGATGATTATTAAAGAGTTATTAATAAAGTTATCATAAAATGGTGGTACTTTTTTTCCAAAAGAGTTAGTTGTCTAATTATTTATAAGATTTTGCTAAATTAAAGTTCGTATTTTTTGTCACTTCTATTTCTTATCATGATTATATCTTTCAGAAGTCTCTCTTTGATGTTTGCAATTAAAATTAATTAATTTCCTCGGCAAAATTTAGGATAATGTGAAGAGATGAAATTCACTTACAATGTTCTCTTTTCAAATCTGGCAAGCTACCAAAATGTAACGGTTCGTAAACATTTTGTGATAAACAATTTGACCTCAATTTAGGCCCAGTCCTCATTATTCACTGAAATTATTATCCTTCTCCATCATTCAAAATGATGCACATAAATCGATGATGAAAATTTTGGTTGTCGAATTAGTACGGAATTATTGAAAATATTGTTTACGCATTTGCATACTTCAACATTTCATTAATGGAAACATAATTTTAGGCTACAGAAGGATGATTTAGTGGATTATTTATTTATTGATAAGAAACATAACTCCGTGATTACAATTCTCATTCATGTAGCTGAATCATTTTAATTTCAATATAGCAAAAAATTATATAATTTAAATTTCAACTTCTCGAAGTTTTGTGAAGCAATTTTTGCATGATTATGCGTTCTATTCCAGATATAAAATAATTATTAATAACAAATGCAAAACAATGTATTCTTTGTGGCTCAATAAAACAAAGCCCGATTATCACTGTTAATTTTAGTATACCAGAATGCATACAACTAATTATATGTATCTAATAAATATTAGATAATCAAGGTAATAAAGTTATTATATAATATTTGCAATGGTTTATCAGTCTGTTATGGGTCCATTTTAATTCTAATTTATTTATAAGCCTTTAGCTTCAAGTATTTTCGATCTAAAGTTTTAAGATTGGATGCTTTAGCTTTAGTAAACAAATTCCCTTCTTTAGGAATATTTCTCACTTCTTCATTGCAACAACATTTTATTTTGTATTATAGCACTTCGGTGACATCATTTTACTTAATTATAGCACCTAATATTATTTATCTGACTGAAGTTGAAATGACAATGGTACGATGTTCCATTTTGTGTTTCCAAATTCGGTTCAATGATCCCTTCTGAATTGTCCGTCTTTCAGCGTCAGTCACTCCCTCTTTATCTTCACTTTTCAGAGAAAGGAAAACTGTGTATATTGCATGATGGTGAAGAGAAGGAAATGAAAATGAAAGAAGAATGGACAATTGGACGTGGAACAGAGATCAAAGTTCTCGATCAGCTGACTGTCACATCGATAACAATGATAATCTTCAAGAGAACATCAATTCTTTTTTTTAAAAAAAAAACTGGCTTATCGATAAAGTTTAGAGAAAAGAAGAAAAAAAGAACAGAGAAGTAAAGCGAAAGAATTTTGCAATCCAGGAAGTGATTGTCACTTCTCCGTACTTTCTCATCTAATAAGTAATTTCATATTACAAAAAAATTTATATTCTCATCTTTCCTAAATTGTTTCAAAACGATTTTATTCTCATTAATATAAATTATGATAGCATTTAAAAATTGAAGCTTATTCAAACAAAATTTGATCATTTCATGAAGTATTTAAGAATGCTTAAATAAATGGTGCGATGCTGAAATAAAACAAATGCTTGCATGGATTTATGAGCAAATCAATTCAAAAGGAGTCAACTAAAATAATTTTTAGACTGAATTTTACAATATCCAAAATTCTGCTAAATATTTCATATGATCATTTTTTATTTCATTTTCGGTTTGCTATTTAAAATGAATTTGAATTAAATCATATTTTATTTTCGACTTTCAGTTTGAATGTCATCGTAATAATTCTCTAAATTGACAAATTTATTCCGCGATATATTTCCTTGCAATGAAAGAGTATCTTTTGAGAAATTTTCTCATTCATTGAATTCTTGAAAAACTAAATTATACAACAATAGATAGTTTTTCTTTGTAGCAGAAAATTTATTCACATTATTAGCATTTTATGATTACAAAAAATCTAATTGTGGAATATTGCAAACAAGAAAATGTTACGCAAAAGTTTTCACTTAAATTTATATTTAAAAAAACTCATTAAATTGAAAATATATGATGTTAATTAATAATTATATGTTTGTTGTAATCGCTTGTAATTCATTCCTTTTGCAATTTTCGATTATAATATATGGATGTTCCACAATTAGGATGTTCAGGGTCGACATAAAATCTGCTGTTGATCGTTACTGATAATGCTTTTTTTCGTATTTTCAATATTTTTCAATTGTTGCTTACCCCACCTTTATGATTGTTAATTTTGTAAAATATCAAACGAGTTCATGGTCATTTCTCCCCTTGTTTCGACCTCGTTACAATCCTTAAATCTTGGAAAAATATTTTTTAAAAATTTTTTTTTGGAAGTAACTTCCACAGCATAAATAAAATGGTGAAAAATTCAAAAAAAGAGAACAATTCAATGGTGAAAGAAACTAAAAAAAAGATGACATACTTGGTAAAGTTTGTGAGATGAAAATTCTGTACTTAAAAACTGTATCCAATTTGTGAACAGAAAAAAACCAATAGGTCTCAGATTTTTTGATTCTCTAAAAAGTTCAAGTATTTTCAATTTATAAGAGATCAACAGTACTGCAATTTTTTTACAATCACAACTTTAATCCTTTTAAGAAATTAAAATTTAAAATAGTAATAAATGAAAAAGTGTGGAAGAAATCAAATGTGAAATTAAGAAAATCATAAACAAATTATACCTGCATATGACCTGGATAAAAACAAAAAAAGCAGAAACACAATATCACTGATACAATATACAAATGGAATGTACCGTACTGTTCCAATGCACGTTAAAGATCACAGGTTGGAATTTTCAGTTTTGTAAAAGACCTGGTTTAATCACTGCTCAATGATAAAAGAAGGAAAGAAATTATAAAAAACAGTAATTGAAACAAAAATTCATCACACGTCTAAAAACATAAATAAATAAGAAGTAAGAAAAACAGAAAGATCAAACTGATCCTAACACTAATTTTTCATTTACAAAAAATAAAAACGACTTAATTATTAATGGAGCTTTCTTTTTGAAAAATGTTAATTCATTTTTGTTAAAATTTTTTTCGAAAAATACTTTAAGTTTATAAGTATATATCTGAAAAATGATTTTAGATTTCTCAAAAATTGTCAGTCAACAACACTGAATAAACTGGATTTTGAAAGAAACAATTGGCAAATTTTATAATGTCAAGAACGTGAAAAGGTGTGAACGAAAATAAAACATGAAGAATGGTAGAAATTTTCATACAATTTGCACTCCCTGAACTTGAAAACTCTTAGAATGACATTGAAAATATTCAATGAAAATTACAAAAGGAACAGAAAAAAGAAAGGCTTATTTTTCTTAGCAAAGATAAAAGTTCAAATTCTGATATAAAACAGAACATGACGACTTGAAATTTAAAGCAAACATTGCGTTAACGGCGTGGGATACCACAAAGGCGCAGATGACGCGGGTATTGTAATGTTGCGATACGATGATTGCGGTAATGGTGTTGTTACTGATTGCGCATTCGCTGCTTGTTCCTGAGAGTAATATTTCGCAAGAAACCAATTTTGAAGCTGTAACATTGCGGTAATATCTGTTACAGGTTTTGCTGTTGTATCGCTGGTCGATGAGATGGGATTTTTGTCACCTGTCAAGATAGAGTCACACTGAGACACGATAGTTGCGGGTGGCGAAATTTCTGCGGTTTTTAAAGAATTGATAGCATTTCGATTCGTTTGTTTCAATGTTACTCCATAACGTTTTTTAAAATTATGCAACCAATGCTCGGAAAATAAGCAACGAGCAGATTTTGTCGCTTCTTGTAATACTTCAGGACAAATTTGCAACGCAAGTTCACGGGCTTGCTGTTGAAGCCAACGATTTGAAATTCGTTCACCTTTTGATTGCTGCTCTTGTAATCTCTCGAATAAAACTTTTTCAACACCTGGAAATTGAACTTTACGACCTCTGCGGCCCGGTTCTGTACCCGTTTGATTTTTCCTACATAACCATGGAAATCTCTCATAGAATGCTTGAATTGGCAATTGACCTGGTTTGTTCAAAATTTCTTGAACATGTTCTTGAGCTGTTGGAAATGTTCCAGATGCAAGCATGGTTAGTGGATTGTTTGGACTCATTTGATCATCAACATCGATAAGAGCTTCCAAGCTATCGCTAAGAACACTATCAGCATCTGAATCCATACTCTCATTTTCTGCTGCTTCATCAGATTTGGCAGGTGATTGCTGTATGGAATCTGTGGCACTATTACCGGATCCAACAGATTCTGTGGAACCTAAACTTCCGGAACTACTATTACCAGAAGACCAATCACGGTTCAAGTTGATTCTGTATCGTTTCTTGAAATTACTTAACCATCGCTCACTAAACTGACACATTCCGGCCAGTTCCTGCTCTGAACATTGTTGCTGAGCGAGATTTCTGGCTGTTTCCCGAATCCATCGATTTCCAACCTTTTTTCCAGTTCCCAAATGTGCATGATAGAGATGAAATAATTGTTTTTCAATATCAGGAAATTGCGGTTTTCGCCCGCTACGGCCAGATTTTAGCGAGCCAGGCCTAGACTGTCGAATTTTGTCAATTTTTTGTAGCCATCCATTAAGCATTGATTTTGTTATTTGAAATTCTTTGCAGGTGCGATATTTGTTCTGTCCATTAGTATAATAATAATTAATAACCATGAGCTTAAATTCCCGTGGATAAGACATTCGATTTGGTCCAACGGCAGCACCAAATTTAATTGCAATCCAATTGGAGTTTAAACTTGGATTTGCACAGGTTGGCAGAAATTTTAGTTCTTGCTGTTGCTGTGTTTTATTAATAAGCGGTTGTTGTCGAGTAGTTGTCGATTGACTGAGATCCAATGGTACTTCTAGGCTTGTTTCCAATGGAGGAGTTTTTGTAGTTAAGGTGAATAAACGTGAAGCAATGGGATGTATCGGGGTTGGTCGATGTAGAACCGTAGTTTTTGGTGAAGTCAATAATTGTACCAGGCTAGAAGTAGAGTTATTTTCTGCAGGCAACTGAGAGTTTTTCTGAACTAAATCCTCAGTGGTAGTAATCATTGTTGTCGTTGTTGTAGAAGATGTTGATGGCAAAGGCTTAATAGCTGAAGCAGAAGGAAGCATCGAACATTGGCTAATGCTTATGTTATGTGAAGTATTGCTTATATTTGTTGAAGCTAAATTTGACATTTGAGAATTTAGGTCCAGTTGTTGTTGTTGATGATGATGACGGTGTTGTATGCTGATAGTGGAATATTTGGTCAAATCCATAGGATGGATTAATGATGAAAGTAATGGAAATATTAATGATGGTAGTTGATGACGTTCTAAGAAGGCGAAAGTGTGATGGGAACACTTGGAGTCGTCGTTGGAGCAGCATGGACGAACTGAAATGAAATTTCATTTCAGTTCAAAAGAGGGTGTGTATGCTTTGTAAAAGGGGGTATAAGAAGATGTTGTGAGACCCCCACCCATCCATCCCCGTCCCATCCCGGTCTTCGATGCGTTGTTGACCAAAAGGTCGTTGGCTGGTGGCCCTATTTTCTTCAAATATCCTTCACCTCTTTCTTGACTTTGCCGTTGCTGCTGCTGCTGTGGAAGAAATTCTTTCAATTGAAAATGACGACAGAATGGAAATGGGCGGGGAGAAGGAGGAGATGGAGCTGTAACCTCCGGGGTCGTCGTATGCCTCATTCGTACCGAGACGGAGAGAATATTTTGTTTATTTGAAGGTCAGCCCCCGATATACTCAATTACTGCGTCCCATCTCTTAATACTTTGAAGGGGTGAAAATACAGGAAGCAAAGCCCATTATACACTGCTGCTCTATCAGTTCCAGTCATTTAAAAGAATGAATAGGAAGACAAAATATGTTGTAAAATTTGAGATGCTGCTGTGTTCCGCAACATCATTTATCGTGTTCACAAAAGGGATCCTGCGGTGTTGCCACGAATTTCGCAAAACAACAGAAATCTCCCGCCCCTTCCCCTTCCGCTTCTCGACCATTCTTTATACCCCTTCCAGACCCCTCTCTCTGTTTAATCCCTTTCTCGGAAGGGGTGCAAGTTCATGGTCACACCACAAATAACCAGGTACTACACATCTAATCTCATCTAATCCACTTTTTCTGCAGCTCTCACTATCGCTTATTCTTTTTCAATACAAAATTTCGTTTATTCAATCCTATTATTCATTTTAATTGCTTCCCATTATTATATCAAAACCTGTAGTTATTCCCTATTTTACATTTTGTGGTTTGAATTTCTACCTGAATAACTTAAAAAACAGATGGAAATTGAATTATGCAGTTCAGAAAATTCGAGTTTCAGTTCAAAAAATTGAAGTGAGTTTCAGATGCTTGAAGAATTCTGAAACGGTTTATTAATATGCAGTTTGCGTTTGAAATCTTTCCTTCAGAGATGAGCTTTAAACTGCACCATTCTTTTGAAAAAAAGTTTGTCAGAGAACAACATGCAAGTAAGGTGAAGTCATGGAAATGACATTTACTCGTCAAACGGATGATGACTCAAATCTCGAGAAATTCGAGGATTTTATTCATGGGATCCATTTTAAGTGGAAGGAAATACAAGCGGATACAATTTAAACCAAAGATGTCAAGATATTCTTTTAGCCATTTGAGTCAGAGAGTTGAAATTAAAGTGAAAATTTGATGGAGAAACTAAAATTATAAATTCTGCCATTATTTCAGTTTTAAAAGAGATTCAATAGGGATCGGTTAGGTCAATCAAGCGGTAGTGAATTTGACCGTCGAAGTGGCCCGATTTCAATTCTGCGAACAGCGATAGAACAATTTATATGATGGATGTATGACTTCGTCAATGTTCCCATGATCGTGGAGAAAAGAGAAGGATGCCCCGACAACGGTCATTGAACCCATGGAAACTCTCTTCCCTCTCTATCCACTTTCCCTCCCGACATTTTCGCCAGTACTGTGCGTACCCCCTTGCACCTGGTACCTCCCGGGGTCTCATCTACCAACTATACAAACGAACACATCAGCGAAATCTCAACCCTATGAATGAAGAACACTACCCATTTCCACGAAAATAGGTCAATTTTTGGTATTTTCGAACGGTGGTACCAAGCGTGGCGAGCAGACGCACCCTTCTACGGTGCAGTTAAATTTCATCACTCCCGATCCTTTCCATTGGGTACCCCAATGATGGGGACTTTACTAGACATCATAGTAATACTCCTTCACCTTTCCATTTATTATTGGATCTTTAAGGTATCTTACCATATAACATCAGATGATATCACCGTCCTTCCTCCCTTATTCCCTTTCCTTTCTCCATTTCTCTCCATCCCGAGTAGTACTGAAACTTAATTTCCATAAGTAGACAGTGAGCTTTATCTGGGCGAATTTTGGAATTCTTCTTATTCAATAGGCACTTGTTGCACTGAATTGTTGACAGTAAACAATCATGAAATGGTCACCGAATTGTTGAAAATGAACAAACATGAAATGATCCAGTATGATAAAGAAAAAAATGATAACGGATAAAGGAGTAACTGAAGTATAATAATGAGGAAGAAATGATTGAGTTCATATTGTGCAAATAACTTCTCGGGAACGTGAACCTCAACATGTTGCTGTATCATGAGATATAAACACAGAAGCTTCAAGCAGTGCAGGAAAATATATTATAAGCAAAACTTAAATCATCCATGATTTAATTTCCACGTGAATTGGACAAGATTTTGGAAGATTAACACTGTTAGTTTCTCCGAGAATATCGATGCGCAGATGATCGGATCTGTTGTGTGGTATTTCTCGAAGTCGCTCAAATGTTATCAGCGCCAGAAGCAAAAACATACGACCCATGCATGGAGGGAAAAAACATTGTTGCATTGTCTTCAGCTACCTGGCTAATTGTTCCCCGACCGCCTCCAAGGCCCGTGATTAATCGTGACAGTGGGGGGATTTCTCTATTTCATCATTAATGAAATAAGACAACTTCACTCTTTTTCTCCCTCTCTTTCTCACATATTTTCAATCTATATGCTCTCTTCATTACCAATGTTCGCTCATTACTACTCTCAATTACTCATTAAATATTAACATTTCGGGAGCGTATCTCTATGAGTAATATTACAGGGTTATATGCTTTCTGGAGAAGGCAGTGAAAATGCATCCTCCTCATCCACGACATACTATGGAAGTTGCTTAAATATGGATCCGGATGTAGCTGAGCGTATTGCTTCGCTTTTGTCCTCCCTGCGGTACCACTTTTTTTATGTCATGTCAATTAAATATTACAAAGATTACTGCAAATCCCTTATTATATCAATCAAATTTCAATATTTTACTTCGGTTCTAGTTGTTAACGATGCAGTGACAATACGAAATTTACTAATTGATGATCAAAGCTCTAGGCTTACCTCACTTCGTAACAATATTCCGCAAGAAGGAGAAGATGAGCGTTTGAAGAAAATCCATCGACAGTTGGAATGGTTGGTAAGTGAAGAACCAGACGACCATAGGTAAGTTTGGATATCATTTATTGCTGATTGTATGAATTATTAAAGTATGTACAAGCAAAAATCAGTAAACTGCTGTGTTGATTGCATTCCATCCACTGATAAAACATTCCAGATAGGATTTAGCTATGACTAGTGGAATTGCCATTGACATTGACATATCAGTAAAACTAAACCGTTTTTTTCATTTCCTAGTCATTGAACCGGGATTTCGAATTCAGTTATTATTTAAAATCAGTATTCCACATTTTATCATCTCATATATAAATAATATATTTTGTCTGGTAATATAAGAAAATTAGTGATACTTGAATATTACTTGATAATAATAGCCTTTACTATCTTGCTAAGATTATTTGCATTCTTCAAGGCGTCGACGATTACGACATATATTGCCAGCAGCTAACTGCGTGAGAGAGCAGGTTTTTGCGCTGCGACGCTTTCTACATAGTGTTAATACTGCTTCTAATACAAATTATGCAACACATATACATGGCGCATTAACAGCTATCATGAAAGAATCGTTTGAGGAAGAATACCGTAAATTGGCTACTGTAGTTGGTAAGTATGAATTCCACAAAGTGTTGATCTTTATTTTAAGATTCAAAATATATGATGTTAATGCTACAAAGTATTTTCTAATAGGTGTCCTGGATGCAGTTGCGGAGCTGTTGATATTTGAAGTAGATGCTTTTGATATTGAATGTCCAGTGGAGAATCGTACAATTAGAAAGCTGATAGCGAGCACGTTAACCAATTTAACGTTTGGAAATGCGCAAAGCAAACGTCGTCTGTGTTCGCATCCGAATCTTATAGAATATACTATTAGAATTATAGACGATTCCCATGGTCTTGCTCAGGTTTTTGATTTTATGCATAATTTATGAATTTATGTAATATGCGCATGCGCGTATTTATTTATTTGCACATTATTGAACTTATTTTCATAACGATAGAACTTTTTTTTTTTAATTTTAAACGATAAAAGGATAAAACTTATGAACTTATTTCCTGTCTTGTATTACGATAAAACCAATTTTTGTTTATGTGTACGCTGGTTTATTACGAAATTTGTCATGGATGGCAGATGCACAAATGAGTGCAATATTAGCTCCATCAGTTCCGGCACTTGTTAGAGCATCGCTGCGTGCATATCGGACAGCCGAATCGAAATGTTTGTGCGCTACTCTTTCTGCGCTGTGGAACTTAGCATCACATTCACGAGATAATAAAAAAGCTCTTTGTGAAGAACCAGGCTTTTTAGAAATGCTCATCGAATTGTCAACAAATGATGCACAACATACCGTATGTCAAAATTCCTGGAATTGTAAAAATAGAAATTAAAAGTATTAATTTCTTCTTTCTAATATCTATTAGTTTTGCTCACTTCATGTTTAATTTTCACGTAAAATTAAAAATCCTTAATAACATTGGCTTACACAGTATATTCATATGGATATCTTCTTGTATTTATGTTGAAAAATACTATCACTTATAGGCACTGGTTGAGCCAGCGACTGGCGTTTTAAAGTATGCATCAATGTACTTAGCCGTGGTAGGAACAGTCCAGTATTTATCCACAAGTGTCATTCATGTGATGATGCTTCGCCTTATCGACTTGTTAAATAGTCCGTCGTTTACCGTGATAGGGAATGCTTTGGGGATACTGTCGCAATTACTTGCCAAGGGCCATCAGCTGCGATCTCTTATTGTGTAAGTTTTTTTTGAACACTGATTTAAACTTTTATAGTTTCAGTTTTGTATTAACATTTGCATTTTTATCTGTTTTTCATATATGTGTATTTCATTTATGATGTGATTGTTCGTTAGCTTTATCGTAGTCGTTGTGTTTTCAACAAAATTTTCATTGTACTCTGTTAGTCAGCAAACTAGTTTGCAACAGATATTTATTTAAAGAATATTTTTGTTTTTAGATTGAATCACAAGGCCATGCTATTGTTAAATCATCTTCGAAATTCTACACGCGACGATATTCGTAACCCTGTTAAAACAATATTGAATTACTTAAATTCATTTGATGTTTCTGAGGTTTATGTGCCAACATCAGCTCACTCTTCAACACATGGTACACCACCACTCACTTATCGATTTGACGGTAATCTTAAACTAGTATTTGTACTTTTCTTGAAACTCTGCATAGTGCTAATTATTTGAATTATAGCATAAGATTTTACAGGTATGTCATCATCATACGATGGTACAGCTTCAGTTGCTCCATCATGCATGGATTCAACACGACTATTAAAATATCGGTCATCTCATTCTTACGCAGCAAGTGTATTACCCGGTAATATAAGCAGCACATTAAACACTGAATATTTTCCTTACTCTTCTCCATCATGTGCCTCCACTATGCAGCATGGATTCGCCCCTCGTCCAGGTGATCGTCCACATCATCAAGAACAGTTTGCTTCTCTTCCGCGACAATTTTTCCAGAAAAGTAAAATATCGAATGCATCATCTGTTGGAGATGATAGTAATATGTATCTTAAGCAGATGCAAGCTGCTTCACGGTTTTCTCCATCGTAAGTATTTTTCTTTGCTTCATCATAATTTTATAAAGATTTAGAAACTTTTTCTCTATGAATAATTCAAGTAATTTGTTCCTGAAGGTCAAGTTTCCATCGGTAATTGTATAGATCAGTTTAATAAGATTAGTTTTCCAAGCTAATTTTACTCATGTTTTAGCGTCATTACTGTGAGACATCCTATTCATCCAGGGCAAAAGAATATGAGTACTTCGACAACGACAACAAATGGCTTAGTTGTTGAAAGTCCGCAAGGTCCTAATCTGAGTAATGGGGAAAACGGTGATAGTGATGGGTTAAATGGCCTGAACAGGCCTGATGATCCATCTTTCGAAGTAGAGGATAGTGTACGATGTACACGCTGTACTAGCACGCAGTCGCTCTCGTCACTATTTCCGGTTAATATTTTTCTACAAATCTAGACGGAAGTATTAGTTCTGATTACTTCAAGTTGAGGAAGCAGGCATGTATTTTTGGCAGAACTGTTATTATAGCTTATGTAGTTAAATTCGTATAATTTATCATTTATAGCCAATTTCAGAATCATTTTTAATTTTTTTTTATAATAAAAGAAGCCTCAAATTATTTTTGAGGAAGATAGAAGAGAGACAAAGCTCTCCTTTTTTAATTTTCTCTCATATTCCAAATACTGAGTAAATACGGACTACGCCAAAGGTTTGCGTGACCTAAACACAAACCATTTAGGTCAGTAAGTCAATAAAGAACAGTATATGCATTATTTTTATATACATTATTATCTTCAGTTCCTTATGATAAAACTTTACTATTTTCCAAAAGAAATTCATTTATAGGGTGAAAGGAGCACGTGGAACAGTTGTAACAATTCGGCAGCTGACAGTAATCGCCTTTCTCCAGTTAGCGCTACTGAAATTCCTGATTCTCCCACTCAGTGTGCACCATTAGCTGACACAACAATACTTTCCGCACGAGATCTTGACAGTACGGAAGAAAATGAAATGCGGAATGAAGTAAACATATCAAAGGAAGTATTACTTGAAGCTCCGAAGTCAAATACGAGGCAGTCAAATAATGGAGAGAAAAATTTTGTCAGTAAAAGCGATATAAATACAAAAGGTATGGATTCGATAAATTCATGTATGCGTAAATTACTTGCCTTTCTGATACTGTTTTTCTGTAATATCTAACATTAATTGATTTGATTTTTATGTGTTATGTGCGAAATGCTCAGTAAGAAAAGTATGGTTGACTGTATTAATTTTGTACTAAATTCGTCTGCATTTTTGCTAAAGTTACAACTATATCTTTTTTCTGTTGAGGGAAAGTTTGCTAAATAATGATGAATGATTTAGTATATCTGAAAAGTGGTAAAGTTCAGGTTGATATTATTGCGACGGTTTTTTTGCAGCAAATACAGAGCAAGAGAATTCATTAGATGATGATTATGGGAGTTTCATGGGTCGCGCTGATTCTGAACTGTTAAATCAGTCGATTGAATCTGCGATGCCGAAGAGGTATTAAGGCTTTTCAAGATTCAGGCCTGAGAACAGTAAGAAATATTGTCCTAAGGACTTGAAAATTCTAGTAAAGAAATGACTAATCGGAATGGATTTTCAGATTTTTATTTTAGGGTGGAAATCAACGAAGAATTTCTAGCAGATATGATCGAACAAGCACAACCAAAATCATGCCCCCTGAAACAACACGGCAGTAGTGGCGGACGCAATTTTTCAAGAGCTACAGCCAAATCGTCGAGTGCAAAAAGTAAATCCGGAAAATTATTGCTGATTTTTTTCGTCATTTATTTAACACATTTTGAATACAAACATTGTTGAATACATTTTTTATATTAACTACTATTTCAGTAGACAACGATGATTTCTTGCTACAGAGCATTGCTAGTGTATTGCCTCAAAGTTCTAGCTCCACACATGATATGTCAGGTGTAGGTTCGCCGCCAAAAAAAGCGAGGGCCATGACGGGCGATACCGCACGCATGTCAGGTGGCCCTAAACGTACTTCTCATGCGGTTGTTTCAAATTCGCGCAGTCATCTCACACATAGTTGCTCTGTCCTACGTACGAAACAATTAAGACTGAACGGCATAAATCTGAAGACAAAGTTTGGGAACAAAATCACTGCATCAAATTCTGCTGCATTATTTGACGCAGCTCTACGGAGTTCTTTTGTGGAAAGTCCGAAAACTACAGAAAAAATTCGGAATGCCTCATTATTGATTCATCAAGATACAAATGAGGTAATCAAATTTACATTTTTTTTCCAATTTCTTGATTTCTTTTTTGAATAAAAAATTCATTTAGGAGAGCGACACACTGAGTGAAGACAACTACAGTCCTCTGACGGATAATATAGCTATTGATAAAAATGTTCCCCAAGATATTGATGAAGAATCTCAGGCAGAACAGCTCGTAATAGATTGTAGCGTTGTATCAGAAACTGTCAAGCAAACTGTCATAAAGCCGATGCAGAAGGAGAGGTTTATTTTTAGTTTTTTGGATTTAATAAGATGGGTTAACTGTTAGCGCTATTAATTTTTTCTCTGTGATGGGCATATTTTACAATTGGTACGATCTTTTAAAAGTTAACTATGATCATACTAACAATAATTTGTCTTCTCGACCAGCTCATATGTACTTCCTCCCTGATCTTATATATGTCTGGAAGAGTCTTCAATAGTTCTAAATCGTTCAGTTTGTTTCTCTGTGTATGCAACTTTCTTTTCGCTGAGTTTTGTGATTTGCGTCAAATCAATGATATGGTAATGAGAATATTCATTTATGTAGATATCCAGTTCCATTTTCTAGTTGTGTACAAACTAACACGTCAAATCGTTTTGCACTAACTCAGAAAAGTGTAGAAAAACAATTGTCAGAGCAGGAAATTTTTACACTTCCGGCACCGCTCAGCAATTGTAGTACACGAAACTGCTCTCCTTGTAATCCAATCGTAACATCGACACCAAGAAGTTCTAAACTGTTGAATAAATTCCCTGGTATGTAAGTTTAAGAATTTCTGAGTGTTAATAGTTTGTTTGATAGCTCTAATAGACTATCAAATATTAAATTTTTCCATAAAGCTTATGTTAAGAGGAAAGAAACATTAACTTTATCATATGGTTATAAGCAATCCTTTTTTCCTTAGATAACTTCGCCATACAAAAATTGCTTATTAAAATTTTAAAGTCAAACTTTACTAATAATCGTATTCTTAGCTAGAATTTTTTCCAGTGAAAACGCGAAATCATAATGCTTCTATTTCAAAATCGATGCAGGAAAAAGTTTCTGCTTCGAGTACAGTTACTATAAGAACCAGGGATTCTTGTAACGGTGCTGTAAAATCGTCAGAGGTTAGATTTCTGTAGCTGTTCAAATAATAATAAATTACACTTTATTCTTTGCTTTAGATTAGTACTTTTAATAAAATATAATTTTTTTTGTTTTGATAAACATTGTTATTTGTATTTAATTTTTGTTTCAAATTTGAATAATATTTTCTGAGTTTCATTGTTTGATAACCCCTTCAATGAAAAAATCGTTTCAAATCATGTCTTGTTTAAGGATGGTAGAAATCGGGGTCCACATCACGCACGTTCTTTGCCAAAACTTAAACAGTCGATTTTACCAAAAGCTAAGCTTACTCCAACATCTTCATCGTCAAGTTCAAAAATGAGCGTACCACGAGCCGAAGCTTGTCATCGAGCAGCTATTTTGGACACTTCCAAAATATCCCAGAATTGTGCTAATTCGGTTTATGAAACGATCAAGGCCCAGAATGTTCTTATTCAGGAATTAGCTAGAAAGCGATCCTTCAAAGTATTGCCATTGAATCATAGGAATGTGAATGAGAAGGTTCTTTTATATTTACAAGGATTATTTGTTATTACCTGACGAAATTTTAAGTAAGCACAGAAGTTATTAAATAATTTTCACCTTAAATTTCTATTCTATAATATTGGTAGCTATGCTTGAAATATAGTTAAACAAAATTGTTTTTGATCTGAAAGTAAGACGCGATTGTTTATTTCTTGGGCATGATTTTAAAAAGTATTGGTAATGTTGTTGGCTGATTGCAATTCTGTTTAATTCATACAATTTCCATTTATAGACTGCTAGTGTTGCTGTTGTTCCTGAAAATAATAGCAAGAAAGAGACTGTTAAAGCAGATACCGAAAATGACAACGGAACACAGTGTGATAATCATTCACCAGCTAGAAGGGAAAAAACTATCAAACAAATGCTTGTCACTACTGTTTAAAATCAAGATTTTCATTTTTTGCATTATCTTTGTTTTAAAAGGAATTGTTGCCTTTGAAATAATTGTAAAATTTTTATTTTCTTAAGGTTCTGATTTTAGTGATCTAGTGATCTTTTGACTTCAATACGGACATTGTTTGTGTTGATGGTTTTAATGGAAAGAAAATATTTATGTAATTTCGCCTTATAGAGAACAAATTATGTCCTAGAAAAAAGTCCAAATTTGAGCTTATAACCTAAGTCCATAGAATTGTTTAAAACTTTTTATCATAGATTTTTAGAACAGTCCTAAAACAAATAGAACTTACAAACATTTAAACAGAGTATAAAATTATCATATGAATGTTATGCTTGAAATAAAGTTTCCTTGAAATAAAGTTTTAGCATTATAATTTAATAGCTGAAGTAATGTTATTGTTTTCTTCCTATTTCTCGTAATCTCGTTTTTATTTCGTGCTTTTATTTCAATCTTTCAACTATTGCTCTGGCGGGTTATGATCGTGTGCTTAGCTCGCGTTTACTTCTAGTTAAATTAACATTTCACACATCTTTATTAATGTTATCATTTATATTTCGTGCCTTTTCATGATGATTTTGTAATTGTCGAAGTTTAGACGTTTTATAGCAAGACAAATATCTTGATTTAACAAAACATTCATACATTTCTTTTCATGCTTTTTAGGAAAATATTTTTACAGTTGAGCTTGTTTAAAGGAGTTTTGTTCGGATTTTAAAAAAAAGCAATTTTCTTCCTCATATAATCAGAATGATCTGATATATGATAACAAATTCAAAGTGAAACGTGTTTTCTGGATTATATATTTCCTGCTTATTTGTTTATATCTTCGAGTAATTGTATACATAATCTGCATACTACGCTATGAATGTTAAGAACGTTATGCTCATTATGAAGATGCAATTTTGAAATAATTGGAGTGGAATTTTAAGTTCGATTTTTTTAGTTTCGCCTATTTATTTTCAAGCAGTCATTACTTGTCGAGGTTGGCGCCTTATAGTTTTACAATAAACAATTGCCCAAGTTAAATTTTTGTGTTTGGAAGCACTATGCCGAAGTTTGATTTGCTGGTATAGATATTTATTGATTGACTGATTACGTGATATTTGTGAAATACTTGGAACAAATTAATGTGAAAAAAAGCTGTCAATTATTCGGGGACGAAAATCCTTATTTGCCATTACTGCATAATAATAACGTTCGATAAGATGGGAAAGCAGTTTGTCAGGATGGAGTGCCTATGTTCGATTTAAGAGATTTTAGTTATAATTGCAAAAGTTCTAGGGTTGATTAAAAACCCAGGATAATATTTCAGCAGAACTGTGTGTTTATACTGCAATTTCCAAAAATGTATTTAATAATTTAATGAGTCTAAATGACGGGACATCGTTGCATCTTTTAAACATGAGGTTTTAAACTGGAACGCATCTGTAGTTTCCAGCTAACGTCCCTAATTTCAGGCTTGATATTCAGGTACCGTGGTGTTGAAATCAACACTTGTAATCTGGAATGTCTTATTGGAAATTCCAGTCAAGAGTGAAATTTGCAAAATTCTTATGCAGTCGTAAACAATTCCCAAATGCAATCGTATTTAGATTTGGGTCGATCACCTCCGAAGCACATTGTTACCGTGTGTTTACCGATTTATTCAATTTATTAATCAGAAAATAATTTCTGCTGGAATTGTAATTTTAGAGTGGATGTTATACATACATAAATGATATTTAGGTCGGGACGCTATGCGTGTTAAGTAGTGGTAAGGCTCTTTTGGATAATACTTTTAATTTTTTTTTTGAATAATACTTTTAATGATAAAGTAATAGTATTCACTTTACTTTATGCCTATACTGATAACTGCATTTTTTGAGCGCAATGTTTTCAGCAAGTTAAATTTTGCTTAGACAGTTACATAATTTTCTTTTGTAGATATTAAAAGTTCGAATTTTTAGTCTCATTACTCTGCCCATTTTTAATCTATGAAGCATACAAGCTTTCTATCCTTTTCTTTACTTCTATTTTCACAATTGAATCACATCATATATCGGTAGATTCAAGGGATGTGAAATATAAACACTTTTCCATTCCTTTCAGATGGTTTCAATCTTCAACACATTTAAATACTGCTTTCTCATTGAACTAATCATTCCAACAATAACATTACTCAGGTGTTCGGAGATTGATAGTCATATTATTGTCCCCTTAATATTGGAATAAACATTCCTGGAAATTTTCTATGCATAAATAGAAAATGTAAAATATATGCATGCACAGATCAGAAAGGACCATTTCAAAAATTTGCTTTCAATGCCGATTTATGCTAAAAATCATCGCCTTTTTCAAAGCACAGATTGCTAAGACTTTTGTTTTCTTTATCTTTAAATAGCCATACTGTCTATGAAATTCCCATTTGTTAATGATGATTTTAGTTAACAAATGCTAGCACATTTCTTGCAAACTTTTCTCAATGTTACATAAATATTTTGCTGCTTATTTGAGGGAATAGAAAGCGCAGTCATTCATTTTTTTCCAGTTGAGCGCACATTGGTGTAAGTGGAGCTGATTTTCTACTTTTTTTTCTTCCCAATTTCTCGTTTAATTTTAAATTTATTTAACTTAACTGAAATGAATAATTATACATTTCTTAAATGACATTTCGATTACTGAAGACCATCTTGACATTTGAATTCAACTCTTTTTATTCAGAAATATTTATTAATTTTGAAAGACTTTAACTATGGTATAGAGGACTGAGTTATTTACAGCTAGCAAATTTCCTAAAAAACTTCCCTATTAGGAAAGTTTAATATTTAATATGAGCCCACTAATTTGTTTTGTGAAATTCATTGATAAAAATTATAAAAAATACTGGTGAGGTGTAAATATGAGGGAAGTTTTAGATGTAAAGCTAACTTGTTGTCAAGAAAAAATGGAGTTACACAAATTTGATATGTAAAAGAAAAAAGTGTCAGAGAAAGGGTCTGTTGTGTCTGTGCCATTATTTTATGTTCAGTGCATTTTCTCAATTGGGTGGCAGTGTCTATCCCATTGTCCGCTTCATGTAAATGTAGGGAAAGAAACGGCTAATTTAGAGTCCCGACATGGAATCCGGACATTTTCTCGGAAATCAGTAGTTATTTCATCTTCATTGACTTCTTTCTCGGTAGCAGTTGTTGTTGGCTAATTTTACCAAATTAAGTCAATTCTTAAAGTACTGATTTTTGTGGTGTAGTAGTCTTCACTAGCTTAAGTTAATTACTTATTAATAAGATGTTGTTCTTTGGGATGTCTCAAAAAGAATATGGAGTGGAGTGGAAATTAGATATTCAAAAGATATCAGCTGCAAAACTTTGCGTTATTCAAATTTGATGATAGGAAAAAAGAAAAGAAATGTTAGCAAGAAGCTTTATACAATTCATTTGAATATAAATTAGTATGGTTTCGAATCATTTTTATGTAAAACGACACTTTAATTCCTTTGATCGAAGCACAAGTGATATTTGGATCAATAGCTATAACAGAAGTCGTTGCTTCTTCGTCGTATTCTGAGAAAACGATTTCCACCGTAAGCGATAGAAATGAATGGGAGTAATGTAAGGATGATAGTGAAACTATGAGATGGACAGAATTTTGACCCTCTCCATGTTTTCAGGCTTTTCATAAAGGAAGGCTGTTGAATGCTCCTCCGTTGATTGCTATTCCTGCATGTCTGTTTACTTCTCCTTCTATCCAATGGTGGCACTTTGCTTACCACTCCGCTCCACCTCTTTCATATTGATTTCCACCTCTCTCTTTGCAAATGTATTACTTCTTGTGCTTCTTCTGCACTATACATTTGTGTAACAGGTTCATATGGATGCATGCATGACCATATATGTGTGTGTAGTTGCTTTCATGACTATAGCAGGTTGCATGCACATTTGTCTCGTTTGAATTTGAGGATTTATAGTGGTAGTCATGGGAGATTGTACATGAGTGAATTCTTGCACCCTTTGTTTTGTCTCTCAAACAAGATTATCTGCAATCTGTTTGTTATTTGAATGCTGTAAGTCTCAGTCTACCAGGCTCGTGAATGTTAAAGTTAACATTTGCAAGGATCTCCTCTATTGTGTAACGATTTGAAGTGGTATATTTACATCATTGATGGGAACTTTTAAAGTTACAAACTAACGTAAACAAAGTGGCGTATTATTGATCATACGAAGAAACATCACATCGGAAAGAATTGTGAAGTTTGCTGGAAGGAATTCCGGCCAGCCGTGAAATCTCAGATATCACGGTGTTGAGTTATCCCTGTCAAGTTTATTCGTTCGAATGAAATGGGCGAGAATTATGTATACAAAAGTTTGGGTGATTAATCCTCGGTGTTAGTTCTTCTTTTCATCGGCTGATCAGTTTTCTACAGTGTCGTTCCTCCTGAACGGTAACGGAAAAAAATTTCTTAGAATTAAATGCAATCCCTAGGAGGACTTAAATGTTCTCACACCACTATCCACAGCATACATGATTGATTCAATGGGATTTGACCGAGGAGATATGTAACTTTTTATAGTGTCTTGCTTTCTAATTATCCTTTTTCTAGCAACTTTTGAGGCATCACAGTTAGCGATTTGCATATAATTCTTCTTAGAGTAACCTTTAGTTCACAGTCTCTTTTTTTTCCGTAAAATTTGTTTTGAGGAGTGAAATTACATAAATATTGATTGCATGATTTTTCTGTATGGATGATGAAAGTGAACGTAGAAGTGTAGTTGTAATGCGTTTATAAACATTTCGTGATTCAGACGCGCAGTGTAACATCTATTACGTAGCATAATAGATGAATCGTTAACTTTGAATTAGAATTTATGATGTTTTCAGTGAGAAATTAGAACATTGGTTAATTGCAGGCAGTAATAATGGCAAAAAAGCAGTATGATTTATTATTCAAATTATTGCTTATTGGTGATAGCGGTGTTGGAAAAACATGCATTTTATATAGGTTTAGTGATGACGCTTTCAATACTACTTTCATTTCTACTATAGGTTCGTTTTTCAGTTTTCCTTGAAACGATTCAAGCTTGAATGCCGAATGGTGGGGCTTGAATAATCTGTTGCTTTGAAATAAATTGAGTGTAAGCCGACTTTGTTAAATCTTCGAACTTTTTGATTAATTATAATTTTGAGTTTTACCAATAATTTTTAACTTCCAGGCATCGACTTCAAAATCAAGACAATAGAATTGAAAGGAAAGAAGATTAAGTTGCAGATTTGGTAAATCCTTATCGTCTTCTACTTTGATGTTAATGTGAACCAGGAATTTTGCAACTCTGCATCGGTTGATGTTATTTGACTGATCATTTTCTTTCGATGTTAAACTTACGAGCACTTTATGACATGACATTCTATGATTTAGTAGATCTGCTTGTGTGTGTTAGCAAAGTACAATTATTTACACCTCAGGATCTCACTGGAGTAATGGAGAAGCCATGTTATTCTTTTATATGTATGACATAGCATCTAGAAATTGGACTCAGTTTTGTGGATAAGGAATTTATATACACAAAGCTTTTGATCATGACTACTTTATAGGGATACCGCGGGACAAGAACGATTTCATACCATAACTACATCGTATTACCGAGGTGCGATGGGTATCATGTTAGTTTATGATATAACTAACGCTAAAAGTTTCGATAATATTGCTAAATGGTTGAGGAATATTGATGAGGTGATTTATGCTTTTGCTGAGAGACTTTTTATTTATTTGTCAGTTTTGAAAGACCAGCGACGAAATTTATGCTAGATATAAGGAAAAGAATTTCTATAAATCTTTTGTTGAATTCAAGAAATTGTATTGTATTAGGAGAAGCAACTTCATATTTTGCTATATTCATCCCTTTCTAAAATTTCGTATTTAGTAATACAGAAAGTGCTTATTTCAAACAATATTTAAAACAAGTTTTTAAAAGATTTGTGGACGTAAGTAAAATTCCAATAGCTGAAAATTTCCAGCCCTTGAGCTTAGAAGATGTTAAGTAGTAAATTCATAAAATCTTCAGACTATGACAAGCATAAAAAATAATATACTTTTAATATTGAGTGTTATAATTTAAACTAATATTGTGGAGTTTTTCATATAATTTACTTTAGCATGCGTCGGAAGACGTGGAAAAGATGTTATTGGGTAATAAATGTGATATGGCAGAACGACGAGTAGTATCTCGTGAAAGAGGCGAGAAAATAGCCAGTGATCACGGTATTAGGTTTCTGGAGACATCTGCGAAAGCAAATATACAAATTGATAAAGCATTCTATGACCTTGCCGAAGCTATTCTTGATAAGGTTAATCTTTTTAGCAATTTAGATATTTGGGAATTTTAACATGCCGGTTATATGCACAGCATTTCATTTTGGTAAAAACAGCGCATGAGCAAAATACACGGTTATGTTTAGATTTCGTTATCTACTCTTTCCTGTCTATGTCGGATAATCCGGAATTATTGAGCAGGAAATATTCTAACAAAATACTCGAAGCATTATACTCATTTAGAAGTTTGGAGAATCAGATTAGTTATTATTTAATCACATTATTTGGCTTAAAAGATGTTGATTATACGTTTTGTTGAATAACATGTAATAGTTGTGCTGCATAATATTTCTAATTTTTTTTAGATGCCAGTTAAGGACGAAGGCATGAAACAACCAACAATACGGCCTGCAGAACCACAGAGTAGTGTAACAATAGGTAAATTGTCGTGCTGTTAAATTTACTCTTTCATGAGCATTTTTTTAGTAAGCAGAGTTGATACACTGCTTCATTTAGTCAAGTATTTCATCCTTTGTTCTTTTACATTAATTCAACGATATACGCCACAAAGAAGGACGCTACATGTGATTCTTCTCTAATTATTTAACTTTTTCATGTGCTTGAGGTTTAATAATGATTTTTGAGTAAAAATCTATCTATTTGTGTTGAAACTCACTGTTTCGTCTCCGTTGATTCCAACCATCATTCTATTTTGTAATACTTTTGTTTTCTACTCTATGAGTTTTTTGGAGTTTGAACGCAGAATCGGAAATATAAGTATAATTACCAAGGAAATTGGCTTTTATGGTTTTAGTTGTAAGGAGTTTTATATGATGGATGGAATTTAGTTGAAAATTCATGTTAGGATGTCAAAATTTTCAAGAAATCTGTTGCTTTTAAAAAGATGAATGCGGAGATGCAAACTAAATTATAAGGTAAAGAAAGAAAATCTAACTGGGTATATTAAAGATTATCATTTGCTATGCGAAGTTTTGAAAAACTCGAAAAATTTGCTGCATTTTTAAGTGGATCATTTGATTTCATGTGTACGGTCCTTCCCTTATTTGAAACTGGTTTTGATTTTATTCCCTTATCCTAAATTTTATTTTGCTGTTCACTGAATATAAGTAAATTTCTGTAAACTTATAGCCTTTTTCGCAATGTGAGCAGAATGTTTCTTTTGATATTCTCTTCGTGTGAATTTGTTGGAGAATTTCTGATCTTCAATATTCTTGAGAATTCTTTAATCCCCTTTTGTACTCTTTTCTGTTTGTAGCCTTGCTTTGAATAGCGCTCATTTTTACAAACAAATTAAAAATATGTTTGCCCGTTTCTGGTCCATATTTTTAATTCTACACATATTGCAAGCTTTTGCGCGTATCATGTTTTGTGTTTTCTGTTTTGTCGGTGTCATTTGTGAGCTTTTTTTGTTACGAAAAACTATGTTTTAATTGGTTTTTTATTAATTGAATTGAATTGACCAATAGGTTTTAGAAGTTTTAATTGGTTTTTTATTAATTGAATTGAATTGACCAATAGGTTTTAGAAAGTTGAATGGATTTACTTATAACAGATTTTTATTTACGAATATTAAAGTATAGAAAGTTCCGCATTTTTTGGAAGAGTCTGTGAAGGAATTTTAAGAGTTACTTCAGCCTTAGCATTCATTGTTTACGTGTGTGTCTGTGTGCACTTCTTTATGTTTGTCTGTATTTGAAAGAAAAGCATTGGAAGCTTCTTTCTTTTTATTTGTTTTTCAATGCTTTTTTAAATAACAGCAAGAAATTTGTATCTTTTTGTAAATTGAATAAATTAACGCCGGACATTTTATTCCTCCAGACATTTTTGAAATATTTTATATCCATTCAGACCTATTTTTAGGGTAGGTAAATTTGAATAGGTGCCATTTAATTGATACAGTCTAAAAGAACAAATAAACGACTAATGAAGAATACGGTATGTACCTATGTTCACTTTCTCGTTGGCTCCTCCACCATTCTCCCTAATGCTCCAGAATATGTACCGCGAAATCCCGTTCAACACATCGCAATGATATCAAATAGTATTTTCACATTACATCGTTTGTAGTAGTATTAAACGCTACGCAGACGGAAATCGTTTTACGATTATTTAGTAGTGATCGGGAATTTCATCTACCGAAGTATACATTGCTGACTTCAGAAGAGAGCAGGTAACTTAGATGTCATGAAACCCATTTTTCAATATCCTGTATTTTCGAACTTGGAAGGGATGCTTCTCCTCATCCAAGAAGGATTAGCAGAGGAAACTTTGGTCTTCACTGCACTTATGGACGCATAATTAGTCCTTTCGATTGATGTTTCGCAATTTTATTTTTCATTGCAGTAACTTTGATTCATTCAATAAGTGTTCAGTGCATGCCTTCAGTACTGAATATTTCCGAATCCAAATGTTTCAAATATATTTGCAAAATACTTTCTGAATATGATAAGAATCGAGGAAAATCGCGGCAGTCATTGTCCAATCAATAAATGCATTCATTGATGAGAATTTTCACCTGCCAACATATTGGTATTTGTAGAGGCGTAACTTCAAGGGCTTATCTCTAAATTGCTACTAAATTTTAAAATTTGTTTAGATTTCATTGAGCTAAAACATAAAGATATCTTTAGATATTTTTGATAAAATGAAACATTTAATAAAATAAAATTCAAACAACAGTATCTTTCAAAATTTATGTTTTCAATGCAACTTTTAATCGTTTGAACCAATTGGAATTTAAATTTCAGTTGTTTCTTTGGAGCTGTGATTAACATTTTTTAAACTTCATGATTTAAATTTTATGACTGCAAGATTAATAGCTAACACTTATCTCTTAAACCTGACTTTGAAGGACCGTAAAACCGGTAAGAATGTGAATTTCTGGTAAACTACCAAATGTGGATGAGGTAGTCAAGACAAGACCACTGGGTGCCTTGAAAATTATGCATCACAAAAAGCATTCGAGTAATAGCGGTAAGATGAAGGATATCAGGATGGAATTTAATGATTCTGGTGGACGTGACGTCATAGTTACTTCATTTTATCAATTCCATTATTGCGTTTTACAGAAAAGAAAAAATCGTAAATCAAAAAGAAATTTAGGCGAAAAAAGTAAAAAAGCACTAAGTCCAAATTTAATTCGATAATTGAAATTTTCGTCTTATTGTTTTATTCGATTATATAAAATGCTTACATGAAAAATTTTAAAAATATTACTACTATATGTTTAACTTTCCAATGATTTTCTTCTCGCATTACAAATCAAAATCCCTAGAAATAACATTTAACAGTTTTAATAAATTCGCTTATCTTATTCAAGTGGCGTAATTAGTAAAATGATGTATAAAAATGACAATATTGTTTGATAGTGAATTGATTATCATCTCATCGATATCAATTCAGCCAATATTTGACACTTAAGCTAAAAATTTTATCAGTCTATCAGACAGTTTATTGATGAAGCAAAAAAATTTGCAGAATTTGTTCTGCAAATTTTCTATCAAATTTAAAGTTTTCTGTCTATTCTATCAAATTTAAAGTTATCATTGACATATTCAATTATGAGAGCATTGGACTACTTTAACGATAGAATCCTGGCTTGACCTCTTATTTTTATTTCCATCCAACTTTATAATAGCCTTACAATATCAATTTTTGATGCTATAAAAACTTCATTGAGAATATTTTTTGAAAATTACTGATTTTATTCGAAAATAAGAATAAACAAATAACCAACTTTCACTATTTTTTGTTGGATTCTAACAAAAAACAATTGTTAATGTGGTCCGTATATTAAAATGAAAATTCAGTAAGTTCCATTGATTTATTCAGTGGAAGGAATGAAAAATTATGTTATGAGAAAATAAAAGTTGAGCTATATGAGAATTATAAAGCGTTTTTATTAGAATTTAACAAAATAAAACTTATACGAAGACAAAATTTTGGAATGTAAAATATTTCACAAATTATTAAATGCATCGGAAGACGAAGAAAATACGAAAAAGAATGAAATGATTTTCAGCCTGTCTTTTTGCTTATAAATCATGTGCAATTGATAATTCCCCGATTATTGTATTTCAACTTTTTGATTTATATACATTTGACAACTAAATACCGCTGGTTTTTTTACAATCTATTCATTATTTGCACCCATGCAATCATACCTTAACTTTACTCATTATTTATTTCAAACATTATTTTAATGAAACGAGTTATTATATGTGCACTATTTCAATTTGATAGTCTTGCGTTTGTCACTTTATTTATCACTCTATTTTCATCGCAAAATGAAGTATTGAAGAAGAAGAAGAAGAAGAAAGGAGAGAGAGAGAGAGAGAGAGAGAGAGAGAGGTGAAAAACGATTGGTGAAATCGATTTGAAAAATGTTGGAAACAGGTTTTTCTCGGAAAGGTTTGATAACGAAGTGAGCAGCAACATACTGATGCTATCAGATGTTTGTGGTATCTATATTTTGATAACTTTACTGTATTCCCAATGAACGTTTACATTATGACTAATTAACAAAAAGACGGAGTAAAATTAAGTACATTTTTATTATCAATTATAAATGTTTTATCGACGATAAAAATTTTTCTCTTTCTTATTTTAATATAAATCAGAGCACGGGTGCACATTACTTTTTTTTTTATTTCTCCTTCATTCTTTTTTTTTATTTTCTAAAAAACATTCAAGGAATTTTTTTTAAAGACAAATGCAAGATTGTGCTTCAATTTCTGAATTTATTTTACAACCTAATGATTCAAATGATGACTTCAGCTCCGATGAAAAGCAAAGGTTTGTTATCACATTAATAATCATCTATTATGAGATCTTTGCAATAATTATGTGATATTATTTGAATGAAACAAATGATATTCTTTAATTCTTAGAAATTTTAAAATTTAACTAAAGTATGTTATGTGAGACTATTTGACTGTTATTCCTAACGATATTAGTCATCATTGCTTATAATTTTCTTCTTTATGAGCTCATTTTAATTACACGTATAACTTTTCATCGCAATATAATGAATTAACGAAATGATTGAGTGAATGATTGAATACTGGAACTTAATGGGAAAGCTTTTTTTTTCAGTTAGGCTTTTTTTCAGTTAGAATGTTATTTAAATGATGCTAATTTTGTTACAATAATTTGAATTTTGAAACGAAATTTTTGAATGAATTTGCAGGACAAACTCAGTAAAATCGTTTAGTTGCATAGCACCACGCAATTCTATAACTGGACAGCAATTTTATTCCTTAGCTAATGTTTCAAACAATTATCGTGCCATGGAAAACGCAAATGCCAAACAAAAACAATCCACCAAGCTATTCGATCGACCTGAACTTTTCGTACAGGCATTGGTAAGTTTTGTTTTAATACAAAATGATTTCGAAAAACTTTTTTAATCTGATTTTTTATGAAAGTGATTGTTAATTTGAAAAAGTTTATTCTGTTCTAGCACTTACAATTTTTTGCATGATCAGAGCAAAATATGAAAGATAATCAATTGATCAGTAGCAGGAAAAAAGCTGCTAATAAGACCAATCAAAAATTGCTTTTCTAAATTATCTTCGTATTTTCATGAAACATTTTGAATTGTGAAGTTGTAAAAAGTTTAAAGGGAAGGACACATTCTTCCTCTATTCTAATTTGAGATCCAAATGTATTTGAGAGAAGAAATAAAGCGCATATTTACGCAAAAGACCAGTTGGTCAAATATTTTAAAAGAAATTGATTTAGTGACATTTTCTATGAAAAATAAACATTGATTATGAATTTTTCAGACTGAAAAATTAAAAGGACCATGGATTGAACAAGTCTTTCTAAAGCGAGAATGCATCAAATACATTCCAACTTTTGGGACAAATAAGTAAGTAATACTTGAAGTTTTGAAATGTTTCGCTCCCATATCAGTTTTTATTGTATAAAAGTTGTAACAAAGTTTGTTGTTGCAATGAGGAAGAATTTAACAATTTAAAAAGTTTGCATGGTGTCAATCAATTGTAAAATTTTGAAACTATTTCTAAAAAAATTGTCCACACTTATTCAGTTAAAGACTTTGAAAATTTTAAAACTGATTAATAATTGGAACTGATGATTTGTTATTTTACTTATTAAACTATTCAAAAATTTCCGATTTAATAATTTATTTCATTTTGATATAATAATTATTAGAGGCATTAAATTAGTAAAACCGGATTTTTGATTGATATGTAAAACGAAACTACGTTGACATTCTGCCAGATTTCACTAGAAAACATAGAAAGCATAGTAATTAGCAGAAGTATTCCATATCCGGTCACTGTTAATTAACAGAGCGTACTAATGATTATTGCTATTGATGCGAAGGAATTAATGACACATTGACTCTTAAGTTACAGCAAAATTTGAAGATGAAAAAGTTAATTAAGCGAAAATTGCTAATTTTTTTTACGATCGAAATCATTTTAAACGATTTTTTCTTCGCTTACATCGCTTCCTGTAATATCATTCATTAACACTCTGAAGTTATTCAATTCATTTTGCAAAGTGTTTTTTTAGTAATGAAACAAATTGACAATTTTTTTCAGATGTGGTTGCGGACTGTCTTTAAATGCACACAGTTTGGCAGTAATATCACAATTTAGAGTGACAATGATGAACGATGAAGCGACAACTCAGGCAGTACGTTGGAGTGTTGCGGAACATACAAAAACCGCTTATACGGATGCCTTCGGAACTCTCGAATTTTCGGTATTCTTCTGGATAGATGAAAGTGTTTCAAGATTTTTTCTATTTGTCTGACATTAATACCATCTTTTTTCCTAATTATTGGCCTAACTAGGCTTTTTTCTGTACTATCTGAATTTCATTATCCTTACTTGTTCTATAATTTTTTCCAAATTTCGTAAAATTAATTCAGGGTGGCGCTCATGCGCATAAAGCGCAATATGTTCGATTGGGATATGATTCAGATCCATCTGACATAATGTATTTGATGGAGAAAATTTGGGGATTAGAGCCACCACGTCTTGTCATCACAGTTCATGGTGGCATAACTAATTTCGAGTATTCTTTCACTTTTCATTTTTATTTTTTCAAATTTATTTGAATAATTTATAAAATTCTTAATCTTTTAATCTTTACTGTAAAAGATTTAAAAATTTATTACTAAATATTTTCATAGAGTGCAAGAGAAACTTGGTCAAGTGTTTCGAAAAGGTATGCTAAAAGCAGCACAAACAACCGGGGCTTGGATCATCACTGCCGGAATAGACGCCGGAGTGGTACGTCATGTTGCTAGAGCTCTCGATGAAGCTGGTATTTCAGCGCGGTATTTTTTCTGTATCGGTTTAAATCTCTGTAACAATTTTCTTATTGTCTGAAATGAAGCAGAATTGGATTTTAAAAAAAAAATTCTTACAATTAATTCTGTTAAATTACTTTTTACAAATGATTTTTTCAAAAGCTTCCATCATTTCTATCTTACAATTATCATCGAAATTTTAGAATGCGATCAAAAGTGGTAACAATAGGAATTGCGCCGTGGGGTTTATTAAAACGACATGAAAAATTGATTGGAAAAGATATCGTTGTCTCTTACGATCCACATTCTTTTTCTTCAAAAAGTAAATATGCGACATTAAACGATCGACATTCATATTTTCTACTTGTCGATAACGGCACAAATGGAAGGTAAAACATTTATGAATTATCAAATTTTTACAAATAAAGCATAACAATTCAATCATTAACAATTATTGAGCATAGATATGGCGCTGATATTATTTTGCGGAAACGTTTTGAAGAATTCATCGCTCGAAAACAAACGATCGGTTTGGGAACACGACATGTACCTGTCATTTGCGTAGTTCTTGAAGGTGGTACTTGTACCATCCGAGCAATACTTCAATATTTAACAAAGTATGTTAATTCTAAAAAGCATATTTAAATGATGTTTTCATTGATTGAATTGTATGATTTGTTTAATTTTCATAATTTTAGTCAACCACCAGTTCCTGTGATCGTTTGTGATGGTAGTGGAAGAGCTTCGGATCTGATTGCATTTGCACATCGACATATTCAGGAAAATGGGTTAGTTTTAAATAACTTATTAGCTTGTTATTAATAATAACTTTACGATGAATTATACCTTTCAATTTTTAGTGAGTAACATTTCGGCAAATAAACCTAACTAACCCAAGATTCATAATTTTTTAAAATTTTTACAATGTCTTATTTCTTTCCCTAAATGAAACAAAATAAACTTTGAAATTCATTCCTCCCATAATTCATTTCCATTGATCATAACTTTATTTGAAAGTTTTTAAAAAATTGTTTATTAGGCGAAGGAACTAATACAAAATTGTAATAAATGAGAATAATTTGTTCATTCTTGTGCTCAATTTGTCTTCATCTATTTTGATTTATACAATGTATTTTTTACATAAAAAAGAGACAGAGAATTACAAAATATCGAAATATCATTCCTTCGATAAAATCTTTGGCAATAGAGAGATGATCCACGAATTTGTAGTGATTTACCGCGAGAAATTCATGCACAGCTTCTCATCCTTATTGCTTCGGTATTTCGTCACAGTACAACGCCAGCAGAACAAATTCTTGAAGAAATATTATGCTGCGCTAAACATCGTGATTTAGTATGTCAAATTATATCGCAAATAATTCATTTTTGAAAAATTTATTTGCAATGATTTACTTTCAAAATCTTTTTTGTTGTAGTTGACAGTTTTTCGTTTGAGTGAAAATAAAAAGCAAGATGTTGACCATGCAATTCTGAGTGCCATATTGAGAGGACAGAATCTATCAGCAGCTGATCAGGTACACCTGTTATTATAATTAGTCCTGTGATGTATTTGAAATTCAATTGGTTGAAATAAACTTTTTTTGAAACTGAATTGAAATGGATAATTATTTCAAAAAGATAGTTTTTTCAAGTGTAACAATATTAAAATGCGACTTTACGACTTTAAATGCTAATTTTAAGCTTACATTGACACTTGTATGGAATCGGGTGGACATAGCACGTTCAGATATTTTCGTGACAAATCAAAATTTGAATCCACATTTATTATATAATGCAATGATGGAAGCATTGGCATTGGATCGCGTCGATTTCGTTAAACTTTTGCTGGAAAATGGAGTTTCGATGAAGAAATTTTTGACAATCAGTCGACTGGAACAACTTTACAATATGGTGATTTGCATCCGTTTCTTTTTTATATTCCTTTAGAAATAATAGTCATATAGTTTGAAAATATAGCTATACATAATAGCTTAAATTTAATTATTTAGTTGCTTGGGTTTCTGTCATCATAATTAATTAATATGCAACCATGAAATTAATATTAAAAAATTTTTTCTCACATAACATTAGAGATTATTGATTTATGTTCAGGAACAGAATTCAATTCTGCCTCTAATTAACAACAGCATGTCGATAACTGATGGTCAAATTACATTACCAAAAATTGGAGTTATCATCGAACGACTGATGGGAAATGCTTACAAATGTTCCTACACATCAAGAAAATTCAAAAATAAGTATGAAAAATGCAAAAAGAAAGCGTTGGTGAGTGATAAAACAAAGCCATATGTTCCAGAATTTATATTTTTTTCTGCTCACTAAAAATCATATTTCCATCTTTTCAGATCTGCAGAATTCCAAATTTCCGAAGCTTTTGTGTAACACATTCAAAGACAAGGAAAATTGATGAAGTAACGTTCTTACATAAATGTCTTGTAAATTTTCATTTAACAAAATTCAAATTTTCATATTCAATTTAGATCCTTGAATAGTGCAGGAATTGTAGAGTCAAGAGTTAATGTTTTTTTTTCGAGTTTGCAAATGGAGAGAAATAATTTTTCTGGTGGACGTCGGGGATTCCGTTAAGAGCATCGATGTTATTTATCTGTTGCATGTCCAAAAGGCTTTTATAATTATAACTGTTTTAAAACGGGGAAATTTTCAAAGTATCCACGATATTATTTATTCAGGAAGCTAAGAGTAATACAAGAAAACGATTGCACAAAGAAAGTAAAGAAGGTCAGTTTTCATTATTGTTTATTATGGGAAGAACATTGAAATTACCGGAATAATTGAAACTCATCTCTCAAAATGGATCAGAATTTTGTCTTTAACTAATTAAGAGAGCAGTTAGTAAAATTCTTTTTTTTGGAGGGTGGAAAGGAAGAAATATGGAAGAATTGATGATCTTTACATTGACAGGTGACGAATTTCAATTTCCGTTCAATGATTTAATGTTATGGGCAGTGCTGTCACGTCGACAGGAAATGGCACGTTGCATGTGGATGTATGGTGAGGAGGCAATGGCTAAAGCATTAGCTGCGATAAGGCTTTATAAAAGTATGAGTAAAGAGGCAGCAGATGAATACATAGAAGTTGAAGTATCCAATGAACTTCGGCAGTTTGCAGAGTTTGTTTCCCAATGTTAAATTCTTTTAGAGAAGTGAAAGTTATCCATTCGAGAAATTATATCATCAAAACATCATGCCTTTTGTTATCTGAATAGCTTTAATTCTACTGAACTTTTCTTGGCTGACAATATTTAGTTTAACAGTCGCAATATTCCAATGAATTAGCAGTAGTGTGCAGATTAACCAATGAAAGAAAGCAAATCTCTTTTTGATTTGTTCCAAAAATTCAAATTAAAGACATTACTGAAATTAAACAAGTCTTATTTTGCAGAGAATTTAAAAGAGAAAGCTTAAGTTTGCTCAATCATTGTTATCTGCAAAATGATGCGGGAACTCTTAGATTGCTAACAGCTGAATTACCTAATTGGGGACATCACACTTGTCTCTCATTAGCTGTTATTGCCAATAATCGAAGATTCTTGGCTCATCCATGGTAATTATTTCTTTGTCTTGAAATGACTGATGACCAAACAACTTTTCATTTCATTAAATGAACATTTTCAATTTACCGAAATTAATTTCGATCGCTAGCCGGCACTTTCTCAAATGTAAATATTTGAAAAATATGCTAGAAAATTTTGAAATCAATTTTAGAATTTCTTGAGGTAAATATATCGTATCATTTACTATTCTATAAATAAGTATATCGCAAAGTGTTGCAGAAATTTGGTTGCACAAAAATACAAATTTGTATGAACTATATTTTTTGATATCTTCAAAAATTTCATTGTTAAAGTTCAAATTTTTTTGAAAGCTTGTTGCTTTAAAAAAGAAAATTCATTTTAGCTGTCAAATTTTGCTGGCAGATTTATGGCACGGTGGTCTCGGCATCAAAAGGTACTATTTGAGAAGTTATCAGCTATTTCTTCCAGCTATTCAAACTTGAAAGTAATTTTAGCACTTGCCTTTCCTCCCAGCATTTTGCTGCTGGATGTGAAAGCACGAATTTCTAATCATCACGTGGATTCCTTCACGCGGCATTCATTTGTGATCGAAGGGATTGAATTCAATAATGTAAGATTTCTCATTCCACTATTTCAGGTTCTCTCACGCTTTTTCATTTAGCATCAATTTATTCTAGTGATATCTGATTATCAGTTAAAAACTTTTTGCTTCCAGCAATTCAGTGTTATTACTATCCGTTAATTAATTATTTTACAGGAGAAAGAAGATGACGTTCATAGTCAAAATAGTGCTTCATCATCTTTTTATGCATCAGAAGTATGACATATTTTCCATTTTATATGTGTCTTAGCTGGTTTTTTGAAAATTTTAACTTCCAGTTGTTTTAGCACTTAAAAGTAAGACGAAAAAGTAAATACAAGACAACCGCGTTTTCCCAACGAATGTCAAATTTTTTTGAAACAGCCAATTTAATTGGGGAAACTTTACAAGTTAAATCAGGACTTGGTGAGTCGCGAAAATCAATTGGCACAAGTTTGCAAAAAGTTGAAGAGGTATCTTTTCATTTAATTTTAAACAAATTGTTAAGTCATGAAGTATCATTTCTAATTCAGTTATTTAAACCAGGAAGTTGTTGCATGCTGCTAATAGTTTTTTAGAAGTTGGAAAGAGGGTTTTAGAATTAAGAAGAAAAGCATATTTATAGATATTAAACAGAAAGGAAATTATTATGTTAACTGATTGGTTCAGATGCTGTTTAAGAAAAACTTCGACAATTTACTTAATATGAAAGTGAATTCTTTGTCTCTTTCCAAATGTTCTTTTTGTTGACAAAAGAAATATAAACATTTGAAATTTTCTTTCTTTTTTCTTATAGGTGACTCGAAGAACGTCGTGGACGACTAAATTTAGTGTCTTTTATTCAGCACCAATTACAACTTTCTGGATATGGCTTGCAAGTTATTTCGTATTTCTGAGCGCTTACACGTACGTAATATTGGTTGAATTTCAAGTGAAGCCAACTAAAGTGGAATGGTTTCTTTTTGCATATGTTGTCGCCTTTGTCATGGAACATTTTCGAAAAGTAACTTTCAAGTATTTATAATATTTATTATTTAAATTTCTTTTCTATTCGTAGCATTGTAAAAGATATTTTGATAATTCGTAATAAAATACAAAACAGAAATGTACAGTTAGTATTAGTGTTTATGATTATTTCCCTTTATTTTAAGGCGAATAATAATTTTTTTATAAATTTTAGTTGTTGGTACAGGAAGCAAGTACTATTTGTGAGAAAATACGTGTTTACTTCAATCGTTGCTGGAACTATTTGACTTTCTTAGCCATTATGACATTCTTCATTGGTTTCGCATTTCGATGTAATCAATTGACGCGTCATTCATACGGGCGAATCGTGCTGTCATGCAATATTGTGTTCTGGTACATCAAACTTCTCGATTTTATGGGTGTTCATCCAAGATTAGGACCGTACATACAGATGACAGGGAAGATGGTAGGATTTTTGCTCTGAAATAGCTAGGAAATATCATCTCATTGAGTGATAATTGATAATTGTACGCTTTCTCTTTTTACGAAAATAACATTTCTGCAACTGCAGAGAGATTTTAATAGAATTTAATTATATCTATCTTGAAGCATTGTCAGTATCATTTAGAAAAATTTATGATCAACTTATGAAGAATATTTGCTCATTTTTTAAATTTTAATAACTTGTCAGATATCTTTTTTTTTCAGTTTGCATATTGTTGTCAGTTAATATTTTAAAATTGAATATATCAAATTTTTGTGCCTTTGTTTTGCAGTATGAGTTGTTTGTTTTAGATTGTAAACATGATGTATATTCTGGCTTTATTGTTAGTGACATTAATGTCTTTCGGAATTTTACGACAGGCAATCACTTATCCTCATGAAAAATGGCAATGGTTATTGATAAGAAATATTTTTTATAAACCGTATTTCATGCTGTATGGTGAGGTATATGCAGGAGAAATTGATACCTGTGGAGATGAAGGTGAGTTTTTTTTTTTTTGTATAATATAACGGTTTATCTGTTGAGATAGGAGAAAATTTGCAATCAGTGCTTAGCTATCAATAATTGATTTAACAGTTTCTCAAGATTATTTATTCCTAATACTCAAAAAGATGTCAAGGACACCTGAGAGATTGTGAATGCTGCTTATATTAGATATCTCTATCCCTCAGAGTGTCAATTTTCTTCTAGCATTTTGTTGATATTTTCCGCTTTCAGGTATTAATTGCGTTCCTGGCGGTTGGATACCACCAATTCTGATGACCATCTTCCTTTTAGTAGCAAATATTCTTTTGATCAACATGCTAATCGCTATTTTCAAGTATATATTCACAGTTATAGAAATTTTTTTAATCTAAACAACATTAAAGACCCAACTGAATGTTGTTTTTGTGACAAATTATATTAAAATTTGACTTCAATTTGAAGTTCCTTTTCAATAAATTTGGTGGTTTACGAATTTAAAATCGCTTCAGCAATATCTTCAATGAAACAAACGCCATTGCGCAGCAAGTCTGGCTTTTCCAGCGTTATGAGCAAGTTATGGAATATGAAAATACACCGTTTTTTCCTCCACCTTTTACACCAATATCGCACCTTTTGATTCTTTTAAAATATTTTCGAAAGGTTAGAAAAATATTGGCTTAAAAGTTCTGATACATTTTCTTTATAATATTAATATTCATCTTCTCAATTTCTGAAAGAATGAAAAACACCATTCGTCCGTTTGATATCATTTAAAATTTGATTTCCTTACTTTTTATCAAAAATCTATTTTTAGTTACATAAAAAGAGTGGACGAAGAAGACAGGAGAGTAATAAACGAGGAGGATTTTTCGATTTTTCAGTGAGTAAGTCAGTGGATTTTTTTAATTCATAAAATTTCAAACATTTCTTTAATATGAAAACTTTTATATTTTTAGAGCTAAGTTTAAACGATGACGAGTTACGTTTGTTGCATGATTTTGAAGAGGATTGCATGGATGATTTCTCGAGAAAAAAGAGTCTATCACAACCGCTGCAAGTCGATTACTTGAAAACAGCTGTGGAAAGGTAAATTTTTTCCCCTGAACAATTAATTTGGTGAAATCACCAAATAAATTAAACAGAATTGCTTAATGCTTCAATCATGTTCTTCTTAGCATTTCATATATAACTTTGTCGTTTATAATTCTATCGGTGTGATGATACCAGTATGATAAAATTTAAGCTTCTGAAGACGATCTCATTATCAAAACAATAAAGATTTAGTAAAAATTCGTATATTTCAGAACTGATAGCTTGCAAGTTCAACTAAATGATATAGTAAGTGAAGACTGTAATATGAAATTGTTTCTGCGAGAAATAGAATCGAAACTTTGTGTTATCGCGAACAATCAGCAAGCCATATTCAAGCTATTACAAAGCTCAACTGATAAGGAAGGAAATTCTAGGAATTTATTAAACAGCATAGAAGCAGTTAGAATAAATGATCTAGGCGAATCTTTAATGAGAACGAGAGGGTCAGTTGGAATGTGTGCAAACAATAACAACAATGATGATGAAGAAATCAGAAAACTGCATTATATGGATGAGCTTCCAAAAACGCGTGACATCTATCAAATCACAAAGAGGTAAGCTAAAAAACATGGATTTTTAAATTTTCGAATGTTTTTTTGCAAATGGTAGTGATTATAGTAATTAGCTAATCGTCTGTTGTAAATATCACGTCGAATTTCAGGAAAAAAAAGTCATATCCTGTCCAATTAAATTCAGTGTTGCAGTCTGCGTAGAAATTTGCTTAGTATATTCTAAGATTAAGAAACCTAACATTCTAATAGTTAATTTTAGTAAAACTGGGAACAATGCAATGGAGACCAGATAGTCTCTGGATCATCGAACATTTTTACTTTTTAAGAAACTTTTTAGGAAACAGACATTTCCGTTGAAATGTTGATAGTGAAATGAGAGCATGAATTAGAAATTTCATTTTTTTTTAGTTTCAGAAGGTCATTTATTCTTCGAGACGAAGTTTATACATCGATAACAGATACAATTAAGATGCCTAAGGTACAGTACTCTCCAGATGGTTCAGTTCCGCCAACTGCTTCATCCAGCATACATGCAACACTACTTGATAATACGACACTCAGAAATTCCAAAAAAGTAGAGTATATTCTATTCAAATAGCAATCCTTAAGTTATGAATTGAATTTCTTAAATTTTCAAGACAGGAGATGAATTTGCCTATCAAACGTGAACGATGAATATATTCGAATAAAAACTAACCGCTAACGATTTTGGAAGAAATTATTTCAAGTGTCTTCTCTTTCAGTATGTCCCAACCTCCAGTGGTGGCATCAATCATATTTTAAATTTTCTAGAAAACGTTGAAAATGCAAAGAAAATCATTCTGTTTGATCAATCCGTCTGCCAACTCTGCTCAGTACTCCACACAATGATCTCTTTAGCTTTTCTTTTGTCAAATTTTGGAAAACAATTGATTCTGTTCCGAGAAGATTTGAATTCAAAATTCATTTCTATTAAATCATTTATTTTAGGTTTCTAGCTGCACAGTCGGAAAAGGGATAAGTGAAAGAAGCATAAAGCAATCGGAGTGGTCTATTGCGAATCTTGAGGATATGTGTCGAACACGCAGTCGAGAATTGTCAGAATCGACAAGCAGCGACACGGATGATATTGCCGCACAAACACCGCCATGTCTCGAGCTTGTTGACTGATCGGAAACACTTTCGAATGCAACGAATTGAAGAAATATTACTGTACACTGAATAGTAGGATACAATACTAAATGAGCACCGTATGCTACACTCATAAACACAACGCAACATTTCTTCACATTTTAATAAGTTATGTAAAATGCTGTATCCTCAGTCATCGACCTCCGACATCTCCAACAAATCGATATCTTTTATTTTTTCAAAAAATCGACAGTTCACTTTTGATCGTTGCCTTCATTAGCAGATACCGTAATTCTCGCTTTGTGCATTTGAATAATTTGGTTGAAAACATCACAGAATATCAATCCAATGTTACCAAAATCATTCTTACAGCAATTAGAAGTTGAAAAAGGGCGGAAATGTCTTGAAGTTGAGAGCGGTAGTATTTAACATTTTCGTAATGTCTGATAGTTATCCTTTTTTGAGTCTATGACTTTCAAAATTTGCATATTTTAGGTTACCAGTGAGCTCTGTGTATTTCTTTCCGGTCAGTCAAGTCTTCATGAGAATTTAATGTTATTTGGCTGTTTTTATTCTGAAACTATTAGGTAACGCATATTGGAAATAAAAATTGAATACTGAATTATTTACGTCGAATTATCCATGGCAAATGCAAAAACAAAATTGTTTACTCCTAAAGAGACAATTTATCGGGTAAATTAAAACTTGACTACGGTAATCAAGCTCGCTCGCGTCATCGTCTTCTAATTTCATAACGTATTAAAATTTTTAAATCAGTTTCAATTGTCTATATATTTTCAAGAGAAACGATTTGGCCTGCCAGATTTTGTGAAGATAGCTAAACTAGCTTTTAAATGTAACCACTGAACGAATTAAACGCTTCCAACGATTTAACTAAAGTGACTCCAACGATTTAAAAAAGTCAATGTTCTTCCTTATAATTAGACTTAAAATCCGTTTTCCATTTCTAAAGCCTTATTGATTCAACCAATATGTTTATCCCGAAAATTTGAAATGAAATTGATTTATGTCTTATTATCATCATCGCGTTGATCTTTTTCAGTTATCTAATAGTAAAGTAATAACTGTGGTAATAACGAAATTACTTCACAATCGTTGTATACAGAGAGACTATTGGATTGTAAGATAGTATTGCTGTTTTCAGGGTGATCTCATAAATTTGATTTGGAACAGAAGAGTGATAGAAACAGTTATCTGTGTACAGCACACAGATACTGAAAGAAATAATATCAAAACGGAGTCATGCAAAGAATTTGATCAAGAAGAGGCCTCAATGAAGAGTATCGCTGACAAGAATCAGGACAAACGGATCACATCGGTTTTTACAGCTCTTAACTTCTACCGTTCATCTCGGGATCATGTGCCATAAGAGAAGAGTGACATCATCTATGTCCATTGTCCGTCCTCTTGGACATCTCTCTTCTCTTACCCAAGAGAAACTAGAAGAGTTCGGTGGAATAGCGGAGAGCAGAGTCCTTCATGGAATCACTTCATTTCAAATCCTCCCAGTCTTTCCTATAGACAGTGCCATTCTTTCGCTTCTTCATATATGTTGTTCCACTCTTTAGTTTAAGATTATCTGTAAAATTGACTATCTCTCAACTAAATAGTATTTTATAAAACAAAAAATAGAATTTAAGAGCTTAAAATTTATATTAAAATCATAAGACATTCAACTCAAAAAAGAAATTAGCAGAATGGGACCTACTTTTAGTTTTAATCAAAACTGAATATTTCTTGAAAGAAAGTTTAATTTCAAAAAAGAGAAAAAAGATTTAAAAAGTATAGAGAATTATTAGAGCAAGTAAAATGTATTTCAGGTTGCGTTTGACGGGCAATCATTTCAATATATCAGGATTTCAGAAGATTGTGTAACGAGTGAGGTTTCGCATAACAGAGGAAGGAATACTGCTGAAGACGTGCAGAGGTATCGTTACAGCAACGTACGAGATACTGGTAAGCTTTTGCTGTTTGTTGTCATTAAGCCATTTTCCGCAAATTTGGTTATTATTAAATTTAAACAAAGTTCATTCCAGTTGCCACGAATAACGAAACGAACGATAGATTGACGCATTTCCAGTCACACTCCGGAAGGTATTTACGAGTGATAAGTTTTTTAAACCAATTTCAGTTTCTGAGTCAACTGTCAACTTCCTCTTTCGTATCATTTTCACTTATTATATCAATTTAGTGTTGTCGCTTTGCAGAAATAATAAACACATGGATGCTACAATGCATACCACGTTCTGTATACCTCTCAGGCAACGATCGAGTCATGCAGCAAAGCCAGGGGTATTCATTTATTTCTCTTAATCATGCTTGGCCTAAAATTCATTGAATGAACCAAAAATGTTGGCACAAAGTGATATTGCTTTACAAAAATATTAAGAAGAGTGGAATAATTGAATTTTTTTCTAATAAATGATAGTATCAATGAATAAATCATCTAAGTAAGGGTGTAAAATTGTAAAATTCAATTTGTAGGATGAAGGAGGAGTTCCATCCAGACCGATATCACTATCATCACAGCCTCATTCTTCTCGACTAGACAGTTCGAATGAAAGTTATAATCGTAGTAGTAACGCGATGGATGTGTCTCCAGCAAAAGTGGATACATTTGCTACATTCCTACCTCGCAAGTTTTATTTTTCCTACAAATTTTTTAGTTCACTGTGTAAACAGGATACTTGTTGATACCTTTGATGGAAAAAACGATAGGTAGGTAGTTTCTTCTACACGCTGCATAAGTTCGTTTATTTAATTTGGAGGAGATATTTACATATATCAAACATGATTTTTATGGTACATAAGTCTAAATAAAGACAGTTTTGGAGAAAATCTTTTGGAATTTCTTCAGAATTCTTCAACATTTTGTCTGCTTCAAAATTCGGTTTTATTTTAAATCATTATTGCTGTTTAGATGCATCACAGAGAAGCGAATCACTAAATGATGATCAAATAAATTCAACAAAGGTTGTTCCGTTACCGGCATCGCAATCGATGATGATTTCATGTAACAGCTCGAAGTCATTTTTGCTCAGAAGTATTACTCCCTATGTACAACAGACGACAACAGTACAGAAAACGCCATCTGAAGTTATTCAGCCACCAATTCCACCTTCAACACACTTGATCAGTGGGTCGCTGGCTACCAGTCAAACTTTACCTCTCCCGCATTGCAATTTTTCAGTTCCGACAACTACTGGTACACTATCACACGGTCCACCCTATGACTATGCAGCAGATGATAGTCTTTGCAGAAATCGAGATCCTGTATTAATAAAGGAAACATTTCACGAAAACCATTGCTGTGAGAATGCTCCACGCAGATTAAAACTTAAAACAACAGATGGACCATCTCCTGGATTACGCTCTACTTACGGACGATCTGGGTGGCAAGATGGTACGAAACAATCAGTGCTACCCTATCCTGGTTCTGGAACATCACGGTGTTATACAAAACCATCACCTTCGCTACCGCTCCTTCCACTTGGCCAGGCATATGGTCGAGGCGCACCCCGGCGGCTTATATTAAGCAGTTTTTCTGAGTCACATTGGTAGGTTTTAACAGATGTGTTTGTAATTTCCTTTGGTTTTTTTTTTTTTTAAATTTCCGAATTCCTATCAGATCCAAATATTTGATAGTAATCTTTCAAAATTGGTTGTTTTCTTGTGTCAGTTATTGATCTCTTTGCTTCATTTTTCTTTTTCGCAATGCCTTTACCTCAAGAAGGCTCAATCTGCTCTTTAGGTTATTATCTCTATGCTTTGCTTGGAGAGTAGGAATAAACGAAAGAAAAATCTTCATTTTGCGCTGTTGTGCTTGTGGATAATCTAATGAATTTTGTTCTTAATATTACTACTGTTATTGTTATTCTTTCTAAATACTACTTATTAAGTTGCGAAGCCGAATCATTTGGTAAACCAAGTGGATTCAGGAGCAATAAAGAAGGTTAGCCGGGACATATTTATGCCATACGGTTTTTTAAATTGTGCTAATCTTTTATAGCTCATCCAATGCTATGATTACTAATTTTTACTACATCGGATTCACTTCCAAGATATGTCAGAGTATAAGAATGAAGAGTCCAGCTCACACTACTAATTTTTTTTTTATTAATCGTTTTAAATATCGTTGTTCTCAACTGTTTTTTATTTTCTAAGAGTCTATAGTACTTACGTTGTGCAGGAAATGAGCAAGCTTACAACTCATGCTGTGTAGGAAATGTGCCATCAGATGCAACCTCATCAATCATGCAATCAACGTATAATGGTACAAATATTACGTACACCGCAGCGGGCACTGCACCACCACCCAAAACGTATATTTTTGAATTTTTTTTTTATTTTATAAAAATTTGTTGCTTTATTTGCTTTCATTTCCATAAATTGAGTAATGAAAAGTAAGTTTCTTGTGACAATTCATCTATTTGAGTCAACTTTTATTTGTCCAAATCTTTTGCAAATATAACTATAAGCTTCTCGGTATTTTTCAGTACTTTTTTATATTCCAGAACTGAGGGAGGAAGGTATCAATTAATATCATTATGATGAGTACGTATCACAATATTTCAAGAAAAAACCTTGCCTTTTTACCGTATCTTATTTATTTGCTGAGAAAGAACTTCTGGAAAAAAGATTGGAACATGAGCCTTTGGCAAGCTTGTTTTCAAATTAACATTGAAAATTTTTATTTTATTAAAGAATTCATTTAAACTTCACTATTATTTTTGCGGAAGCTATGCTTCGGATGTAGTATACAAAGATTTTCTGAATTGTAACTCTCGAAAATTTAGATTTAGAGGCGATCCAGATCAAGTTGTTATATGCTCTTCAACAACCAGTGGTAGAACTGTAACGTATCCATATCCATCAAAATCAACGTATACATACGCCGAATGTGACACTGATCACTCAAGGACATCATTTAGAGAAGGGATATGTAAATCTTCAATGCACAGGTAATTCTACGCCACATTAAAACTCACTCATTAAAGCATAAAATATGCATTTCAATGTGTGTTAAGCTGCATGATGAAGATAATTTCTGCATTTCGACTGAAACATTTAATGGAGCAACTTGCACTTTCACTTGCTGACACCATTTTTCGATTTTAGTTCTTATTACTACAATTCTCTTTTAGTAACGGTAAATACAGCAAAAGGACGTATAGCACAAATCTCGCATGTCCTCCGACAGCCGTCACTAGTAAGTTCTTGATGAACGTCGCGTTTAGTTCAAGCTTATGCTTAATGATGAAGTTAAACATACTGCATACTCTTTTTTTCATATAATGCGTCTTACTCAGGGAAAATGACAAAACTATTACAAATTTTCACATCCAATATAGCACAGACAGGGTCCGGTTTCTGTAAAATACAATTCAGTTCTAACAACAAAATTCTGCTGTTTTGAATGCACAATTTAATTTTTTCCTTTTCTTCCGTATTCTTCAGTTATTTGAAATTTTTATCTTAATTTGATTTTCACTATAAAAAATTGTGGCATTCCTCAGGAGGAATGCAAAAATAAATGCAGTTGAGTAGCCATAATTTAATTTTAGATCCTTCATTAAAAAAGGAAAGTAATCAGATGGTACATGACGGTCAAACAAGTTCGATGGAAGAATACCAACAAAATTTCAAAGAAGACAAAAATATTGGCAGGCGAGCAACATCGATATCGGCTTTTTCAAAGTTCTACTTTCTTTCTCTCAGCAAAACAAAGATACCCTAGATTTAAAATTCCATAACCTGATTGTGACTGCAACAAGCTAGAATTAGGTTCTACTCCACAATTCAGAATCAAACCTATCGTTATTTCAACATTAAAACTCAAAAGAGCAATTTGAAATTAGGAAAATATTATAAAAGTTTAAAATTATGTTAAACAACTAAGACGAAATTAAACTTATATACTGAATTACTTCGAAAAAAAAAGTCTTTGTGCAGCTGAAGCTGAAGCGTATTTCTCGAGAAACTTGGAATAGCTGAGTGATCAAAAAATTATTTAGTAACAAATTAATGGTCACTTTTTGATCAGGATAAAATATTATTAGAACTGAAAAAGCTGTAGATGTATCAAAACAGAGGTCGATAAAATATAATATGTTTTATTCTTCCTTATGTTTTGAATTTATTATTTCTTTACAAGTAATTTGTAGGTAACTATTTTCTGCGTGCGCCATAACTGAGATCGTTTACACACAAGTTATTAGAATAATGAAGTAATTAAATCTTGAATAGGCACAAAAGGAAGAATCTGATTTGCATTTAAATGAATGCGTAATCTTTATATATATATATATTTGAGCTTTATTAGATATGTGGAATGAGTGAAACACTATAAACTTCATTTCGTAGTTCCAGTCTCTGTGTGTCGGCTGTAAAATTTTTGCGAGGTAGGATGTATTGAAAAACACGAGGTAGAGTGCACTGGAAATACAACCAAATGGTGTCTTCATTTTGACGATGTATTGACTGTCAGTATGTGTGCTCTGTGTTGCTACTCGATGAGTGAATGTTTCTTCTTTACTTTTCTCTTCTGTTTTTGGACTAAGGCAAAAAAAATTTTTCAACTTTTACCTTAATACTTGTTCTAAAATTTTTATGTGATTTTTTTTTATTTCAGTACTTGCCTTTTTTAACTCTTACATAAATAAAGCAAAAATTAGAAAATTAACCGTATTTGAGAAACAAAGTTATTGTATTTTAAAATTTGTTATTATGAACATAATAGAATGTATGCAAGGAATTTCTCAACAAAATTTCGAATGAGGAAAGGGAAAAGAAGAAATGATCAAAAACTAAAAGTGTTTTTATTTGTGAATGAGTGTGATTTAAAGCAGCGCTTTTATGTCGTTCTTGATAAAAGAAGAATAGAATGAGATTTTTGAAATCCAAGAAATGTAGATGTAATTTCTGCTTGAGACGGTAGGTATTGCCGATCAACTCACGATCATGTAGTTGAAGGATTTATACTTACTCTTTTTTTATATTTAGGCAAGTGTAGAAAGATATTAGCAGCATTGCTCTCGACTATGAAAAACATATTAGTTACGATGTTCCTGATAATTTTGACTATAGAGGCGAGGAATATTTAATAAGTGTGACTTACTTCGTTCTTTTTGTTTTTATGACAGTGGTATCATTGACTTGTCGATATACGTTCAGTGGCGTTACATGTTGATTGAAATCGACATTGTACCGTTTCTAAGCGATCTGCAAATTTCATGTGTAGCAAGTTGTTTTACGTCATTCATATTTTTGTTTGCTCTTGCATATTGTAGAATTTCCATTTTCATATTTTTAAACTTTCATAAAAAGAAACTAAATAGGGACAAAAGAGATAATTTTTCCTGCCTTATTCTCTAGATGCATTTGATCTCTATTGGATAATTTAAGAACATAACCCTCTGAATTATAATTTTTGCGGCTAAAAATTACTATGTAAATTACAGACAATTACACAACGATTGTAGCGGCAGAAATTAATATAGCAACTCGAGTAAGTTCATGCATATGCATCTTGAAGCTTTTAAGTTTACAAATTGAAAAAAGAAAATGAGTAAAATTTTTGTAGATGGTCAAGCTATGTTATGCAATGAAATTGAAGAAATATTTATGATTATAAAAAATTGCTTTATTTCTGAAAGACATCCATAACCTTGCTCCTTCTCATTTCCACTTGTACAGAACGGGAAACATGTGGTTTATATGAGATAGTACTTATAATGGTAAACATTTCATTTAGCTGACCTTAACTTTTCGTCATTAAAGTCAGAAAACTGCTTGCATAATTTTTGCCTTTGTTTTCTCACTTGAAGAGTGGATGGATTAAAATGTTCAGAGAGTAATTCTTAAATTCAAGTCTGAGGCTTATATTGATATGTAATATGAAGATTGAAAAATGAGAAACAGAGGAAAAGAGAGTATTTAGAAGTTTTGGTTTATTTCTAGGCCCTCAACATAATGGCATAAGATGTAATTGTTCAGTGTCAGTCAGTGACTTCATTTTGAAGCTTGAAGGTAGCGCTGAAAATAGCATACATTGAAAACCAACGGAACTGTCAAAAAGTCCTTTTTTTAATTTAATGGCTAAAATGTTAGAGAATAATCATAACAGTTGTTTCGAGCCTAAACTTTTTGTGATTATTGGGACTGATAATCTGTGAACATAGTGTTAACAAGAAGCAGCAACACTTGATTATACTGTTATATTGCATCATTGATGGCAATTTTTTTGCTTATAAATTTAATCAAGTCGAATTCATTTTAGGCATATTAATTTGATCAAAGTGACTGACTGTAGGAGCTATGAGGTGAATGATAGCTAATGGATACTAATCTTCCAGTTTAATTTTTATTCTTCCTTATACACTGATTACTTCCCAGCTATCAAATATTGTTATTAAATCATGCTTATCTTTTTCTTCATAGAATACCAGTCGCTACGGTGAAGTTATATAATAATTAATATGATAGGAAACAGATAGTTAATTGATGCTCAACTGAGTAAAACGGTTGGAAAAGTACTGTGTTATGATGAAATAAGATTTTTGTTCAGTTTAATGCAAGTAGGTGTATTCTTGTAAATGCTCTGAAACACTGCTGTGTTTCAATCTATGATTCAACCCCTGTCTCTAGTTTAGGTATTTTGGATTATTTCCAGTTTTCTATTTTATCGTTCGTTGATCAGTGTTCCATTTCACGTTGTTTGACAGAAAGTATAACAACTAATATTGAGGCGCGCTTGGTTGGATCAGATACATTTCTATAGGTATGTTTCGACAACGACTAAAACTTTTGAGCTATGATATCCTGAATTCTAATTGCTATGAAAATTTTTTAAAAACATTTTTAATTTTTCACCAAATATTGTCAGAGTAGGAAAAAGTGTGTCTGATCCAGTTCAATAAATGCATTTTTTTTGCACTAGGATGATTAAATATAGAACTGCAAAGAAGTAGTCAGGCTATCAATATAATACAAAATGCTGCTACTGGAATGTTGCTTTTGTCGTCTGCGCAGCAGTACATGCAAGATTGTATAACCTGTCGTATGCCAAGTATAACTGAATTGAACTTATGAAGAATGAAAGGCTACTTGAGAAGTGAGCAAAATCATTTGTCATTTCAAATACTTTCTGGAGATCGCTTTTTTGATTGTTGGCGTACATCACTCATAGCTGACTTTAGTACATGTACTTGCTGGTGTGTATTTTATTTTTACTCCTTTTCTCCTGGTACCACCATTTTCCTATCGCTCATCTCATTCCTTTGTTCACATTATATTTTTGTATTTATTGTTGTATTTTTTTTTATTGAATAACTTGTTTTTCATTACATTACACTGAATTTCGCCACAATCATTTTATTCTTCTCACTCGTGGTATTTAAATTTTGATTTTTAATTTATTACTGTTTGAAAAAGTTTTTAAAAGAAGCAGTACGTAAGTATTACAGTTTTACATCATTTGAAAAACCAAGTTATATCGTTCGTGACGCTCTATTATATTGCTTGCTGTATGCATTATTTTCCTGTGATATTACTGTGATTGATATTTCGACAGTGGATTAATATTCAAATCTCTGAAAATATTTTTGGAATAATCTTTATATTTGCTTTAAATCTCATTTGTTCTTATCAGAATTTTAGACGGTGATATTTTCTACAGATTTTCCTTATCCTCGTTGATACTTTTGGTGAAGGTATTTTCTTTAAATCTTACTTATTCTTGTCAAAGCTTCTAATGAAGCCATTTTCTTCAAATCTTATCTATTTCTATCAGAACTTTTGACGAATATATTTCTGCAAATTGTGTCTATTCTCATCAGAACTTTTTCTTCAAATCTTATCTATTCACCAAAAGTTTTGACGTAGAATCTGATGCCAGCATTTTCAGAATACTTTGTCCGCAATGCTACTTCGCTTCCAGTCCCTTCATTTTCATCTTCCTCATTAAATGATTGTCGATTCAATAGTAATGTAGCGTATGTCCATTACTGGTGTAATCCATTTGGTGGTATGCAACAATATCCGGCTCTCTTTGCTGATTATTTTGCTGGTACTCTTATACCAATGAGTAATATTTGGCCTTATTGTCATCATCACTACTCTATGAATCTTAAGAGGTTATTCTGCCACCAACCAGCTGCAACACAGCATTGGCCAGCAGATGCGACATTCTTCACAGCAAGTCAAATCCCAAGAAATTCCGCATATGTTACCCAGCCAAGGTTGGGCAAACAACGCGATACTTCTCCATTTTCGAGCGGTATTAGTCGAAGTAGTAGTATTGCTAGTAGTGATTATGCTGATTCTACAAGCTCTGGAATTGGTTCTCAAGATAGTTATCATCAGCAAGAAGAATCTGGAAATTTCCCTGCTCATGTAGCAGTTGCTTCGTCTTCTGACGCTGGCTGTTATTCATCGTCACAAATTATCTCCTTAGGTGACAGTAACTTTGAAAATTCGGGTCACAACATTACTGGGACATCACCAATAGCAAATTATGACTCTGCTATTGCTGGTTTTTATCCTCAAAAGCAGTACTCTCAGTCACAGTTAACGGGGATTCAACCGCATGCTTCATTAGACGTTTTGGTTACAGCATATTCAACATATTATCCTTCTGCTGTGAAATTCTGCGATCTACGAAAAAGATGTTTGACAAGGAAAGAGAACTACTCATCGGCCGGAAATCTCAGGTTTCGAACTGGAGCAGGATTTGAAGACATCGTTCCTTCTGCTACTTGCTTTCATGTTTGTCAATCTCCCAATCGCTTCTTGATACCATTAGAAGCGGTTGAATCTTACATTCATTGTATGGAAAGGTATGTGATTCATAAATTCTAATATTTTATTTGGCCTGAAAGATATATTTTTCTAATATGCGTCAGGTAATCAGAATTCTTGTTGAACATTTTTTTGTTCATATAGAAACAGTTTCTCTATTTATATGTTTGGCAAAACATTCGGTTTATTCCGATCAATCATTGAAGAGCATATTCATTGAAATAGCTTTATAATGACTGAAAAAAAGTAACTTTTAGTTGCTTAACAGTATATTATTGCTATCTCACTTTATGATAATTATGAGGAATCGGCTTGTTTTCTATAGATAAATATGATGGAAAGAAATCAAACAAAGAAATAATAGCTTCGTAGTCCAATCATTGCTTGGAATGGTTGATTCGTTAGTTAAAAACTACCGATATAGTTTCTTATTTTCTTACTTTCTCCTTGGTGTTCCCTTCAGTCCATGGGACAACTGTTTCAACCTTTCGGGCTTTTTTGAACTCAAAATTAGGATGGAACGACTTTATTCTCTCATACATGTATTCATTTTAAACCTTTCCTCTATGTATAATGAAAAGTGAAACTTTGAAGATTTATGCAGTTTTAATTCGTTAAAGGCTCAAGAAGTTGAAATTAATAAGGCATGGAAAATCAAATTAGAAACTTGATTTGTTTGCTGAACTACTTGTTATCTACTTGTTACTTGGAAAAATGTAAAAAGTTAGATTAAGAATTCGAAATTTTCAACTACTGCAACAATATTTCTTGAAGTAATACTAAATAACAATACGTGAGGTAATGGATTTTTGATGATTTAATTCATTTTTTATAAAACCAGTTTTTGGAAGAGATGATGCCGCAATATTAGATATGTAAAGTGAAATATTGGGCAACTTTATTCCAGTTAAAATTTAGAATTAAGGACTGCAACTAGAAATTTTCGAAATTGCACATTATTGTGTTAAAATTTTAAAATCTTCATTAGTAACAAGCCAATTAATCGAAATAGTAATTTAGAAATGGTTATCATGTATTTCTTAATATCTTGAAGGAACAAATCTAAGCTAATAGTGATTTGTTTCCAATTTTTAAAAATATGGATAATTTCACTCAAATTCAAATAATTACAAGAATTTTATAGTTTTTCTGCGCAATTGGCACAGTCACAAATAACCTCTGGACAAGTGCATCAATTACCTGAATTTGAGACAACTCATTTCACCTCAGATTTGTCATCACGTGGCACAAATACAGTAACAAATGTTACAGCTGAAGCGCTAAGCACATGTGATAATATCCGAACAGGTCATGAGGTTCGTAGAATTTACTGCTTATGAAGTTTGCTTAGCGTTTCAGCAGGAAAGACATATCAGCTTGTTAGTATGAATCGTACCATATTTTAAGTCGCGAAGAGTTTCGGTTAGCCTTCGCAATTGTATACTGAATTAAATTGAATTCAATTTATTTCATTTCGGTCATCAATCGATTAATTTTAAATTAAAAAGCATAATATTTTCAGAATGTTAGTGGTGTTTCACATGAGATTGATTCCAGAATATCCAATATTCCAGGAAATATTGCTGATGAAAATGATTGTCCGACATTGTCAGCAGATAAATCAAATAAAATAGTGCAAGGTAATAGAGTAGGAATTTTGGCTCTTGAAGAAATGAGGATATTATACAATTTCAAAGATTTGCAAAAAAAAAAGATTTTATATGTCTTATCATCTTGTCTTTTAACAAAAAAGAATACAGCAACGATGATAAAAAATTCAGGAAATGACGCGTACTGTTGACAAATATAGACACACATAATACACTGGAACACATAGCAGAATAATTGAAGAAACTCAGCTGACATTTAGGATAATGTGCAGATGTTTCTATTTTTCAGATCATTTTCTGGATGAAGACTCGCTACTAGAAAATTTGCCAAAATTTGAATACTGCAATGGAAGCGGAAGCAATTTGGCATGTGAATTTACACGTAATGTAAACTGGCTTCAGCCAAAATCGCCAAATACGAAATCAGGTTTTGAGATCTATGGCAATGATAGATATGTTTCAAGACAAAGGAAGCAGGTTCTACAGACAAGAGACATCCATCAAAGTACTGGTATCTCCTCCCGTAGTGCCAATGAAGGAAGGTCAAGAGGTAAGTCGTGTGTTGTCATTTAAAAGTTCTGTCTTTTTTATTCCATATTACTCTTCATCGTCCAGTGCTACCGCGTATTTTCCTAATCGTATAACAACTGACATTAGCTTTTAAACCGTTTTGTTTCATCTGCTTGTTAGCTAAATTGATTTTTTGATTCTAACTCACCAGCACATTTCAGTATTTTTTTCATTTCTCTTAAAAATTTCTATTCCCTTTGTCCTAATACAATTCAATCATCCTGTATTCATACATGACGATATTAAAACCGAGTTTTTTGAAAATGTATATGCAATTTTTTCAAAACTTTTGAATTTGAAACTTTTAATTGATTTAGTAAAATAGACAATACACGTAGGTCAGTATCTGGAGAAAAATAATCATATCTGTTATGCTTATTGAATGCCTCTATTATTTCTTTAATTACTTTCCATTCTCATGAAGTATGGTAAGGGAACTGGATAGATGAAAGGAAGGGAAGGGTGTTTGAGAATTACTCCATGCTATTTCATTTTTCGCTCGACAAATTGGAGTAGGTGTTTTATCGTTGAGTAAGAATAGAGAAGTTCATTCGTATCAAAATATTGAGGCAATATCCGGAAATTTTGAGCAATGAAAAAAGACAGAACTACATTCCGGTCACTGGGATGAATTGGTTCAATCAGCAGTATATAATTTAAAATAAACGTTTTGAATTAATATGATCAAGTCTTTCAGAAGGCTTATTATGTGTTCATCGAAAGAAAAAATATAATGTATTGAATAACTGGATATGTATTGCACATATATTTGCAGGCTTACCTCCTCCGATGCCTGCATATCATCAGCTGAATGACAATAACTGGCGCAGACATTCACAAAATGGTCCTCCATCGAAGAATTACCTTGCACGTCCTTTCTCGACCAGTGATGGCTTTGTTCGTAGTCGAGACCGAAACAATTATGACAAGTAGGTTTTTAGTCCGTGAATGAAAAAGTCCCAGATGAATGTTGTCTGCATTTTATAGCAGTATTATTGAAAGTACCTCTGGTTGTTTCAAAAATTTCTGAAACAAAATCTGAGCGGTCTTGTTTCAAAAAACGTTTTGAATAAGTACTGCAATTCTTAATCAGTAATGAGTGTGAGTTTTAAAGAAATAAGTTATTTAGAGGATTCTCTATGTTACAAAATAGTTGAAAAATTCAATCACAGTTAGGCAGATCGGATGTTAGGTAGGCTTCGAATAAGTAAGAATTAAGAAGAGAGTGCAAATTTAAGTTTCCAAGATATTTTAAAATTAGTCTTATTTTAAAGCTATGATTTTTTTTTCATACAGCTTTTTAATTAACGGCGTTAAGGTTCTATATGAGTAACATGGATCGCAATCGTGATTGTTCTCAGTGTAACAGTTCTGACAGACGTTCCACTCCGAGAGTGGCAAACATCTACAGGTCTGCAAATAGATCATGTAAGTCTTCACATTTTGAGCAAAAGTCGATATTCTAAAAATTTACAATAGATTGAAGTACATCTTTCAAATAATGTAGCGATTTCCAAGACTTTATTTGGAATAGCTACTTAAGAGACATGTTACTCAAAATCGAATATGATTCTTTCTTAAATAATATATAATCATTATTCGATGTTTCCAGCATTTATTTCGTATGACAAGAATAGTTATCATGATGGAAACATTGAAAATTCGTTTAATTTGATGACATCTGATGATAAAAGAGGTCATGGAACTACAGCTTCTGAATGTTTGTTGCATCGTAGTATAAAGCGTAATGGTTCAAACAGATCTCGTAATTCCCCACCGGTATATCTAGCTTTGAAAAGTCATCGTGAATTTGTTAATATTGATAATACAGAGGTTGGTTTTCTTATTTTTCTGAAGACTTTAAAGCTTTAGAAGTATGTACTTCTAAAGCTTTAAAGCTTTGATAAGAAAAGAAAGTCTAGATTACCGTATAGGAAAACTCTGTTAAACACAAATAAAATACATTTTAGAAAACATGATGTATGAAAAAGGAAAGTACGCTATTTGTTTTGAATTTGAAGTCCTACCGAATTAATTTGTATTTCGTTTAGAAATCATAAAATACGTCCCTCCTAAATTCAAAGAAGCAGGAAGAAATAGAAAATTTAGTACCTAACTTATTAATAATAAATTTTACTCCCTAAAATTAAGTTATCATCACTGAATCAATAGTAAAACTGAATATAAATGCTAAATGCTGGTAGAACGGCTTTTTTGAATTTTAACTTGTTTAATAATTTCATTGCCATTGTAGTTATTGAAAAAAAAAATGAGTTAATACCAAGAACTTAACAAGCTGGGCTCATTACGAATTGTCTAGTTCTTGGAGACTCAGCATTACTAATTTCCACCAAGAAAAAAATTTTGTTTGATAAAATGAGATAGTGAGCTTAAACAGTGAATGTTTCGGAGTTATTGGCTTGGCTGTTATTTCAGGTCGGAGCAATTGGTAGTACAAGGGAAGAAAAACTTGGAAGAAATCATAGTCCGCAACGAAGCGCTGAAAATGTGCAAAAAATAGCACACGACGTCGAACAACTGACGAGTTTATTTTGCGAACATGTTGCAGTTTGTGAAGAAGGTTGATTTTTACTTATACTTGCTTAAATATTTAATAAAGTAGCGATATATGTATGATGCAAATGGATCGGGATTTCAGTCATTCACCAACTTAGAACTTATACTGGCTGGTTAGAGTGAAAGAGATTTAGAAATGAAATTATAGCTTTAGTAAAAGTTTTGAGAATAAATATAAGTGTGCAGTATTTATCCAGGATTTTTTGCTTTATTTTCCTGACATTATGACAGCTATTCATCTCTTTTAATTCAGGCATATGTACATAGTCCTAAACTTAATTCAGGCATATGTATTTATTCACTTCGTTGTTTTATTCATATGAATCAGACTAGCCCGTACTTATTTATATATCCTAATATTTTTACCATATTGAATTTAGAATCAGTGGAAAAACTAAGCAGAATTTACACTGATGACACAGTCATGCATGTTTAATGGCAACATTGTTTGTTTGGTTTGCAATGTGTTTAATTTTGAAATCAAAACACTAATTTTTATATTCTTGGGTACAACTGATTTTTAGCATTTTTTTCAAACTTTAATTCACTTTTCAGCAACAAAATTGTTATTCTTTCTACTCCTTTTTTACTTATAGTATACATTATTAAGGCACGATAAAGGCTGTGATACTTCGCATGGGTTAATTTGTATGAATGAGTAAAATTCAATTTGAGAATATGATCCAGTCAGCGTTGGACGTAAAGTGCAATAAATGGGAAATGCTACGACCATTATTTCTCCTTGTCAGTTGATCACACTCTTTTGCTCCCTCTTTCAGCATTATCTTGGACTATCTCGTTATCAAAGATATTTGAAAAAAATTCCCTTCATCCCTTCATCCCATTTTTCTGCGCAACCTTTCTTTGCAAAAAAGCGGAAAAAGATTCAGCTTTAAAAGACTCCTGTTGCAACCAGAAACTTTTCAAAGCTAAATCGGAGTATATGATGTGTACTGCAGTGGATGTTATAGGTTCTCTTGCTATTACTATTCATTGTAACAAAGGAAAGCAAGTTTGCATGAAAGAAAAATCCATTTAATTAAAATTTTTCAATTGTGTTATCCAGGCAGCAGATATTTACTATTTTTAATTTCAAGTAGCTTTTTTCTTTATTCAAAGTTTTTTAAGTAATATTTTTTAAAAAAAAGGTGGTGACATTATCGATGCCATAACACTATTCGTCTTCTACTTCTTTGGAACATCCAATGATTATCCCTGTCATTATCGTCAAACTTTGATTAGCGTATGCCATTTTTCGCCATCTTTGACTTGATTTACTTTCATTACCATAAATTTCATTACATTCATTACAAAAAGTTGAAAAAAAAACTTTCTGCTGCTGTTAACTCAAAATTACTCTAAAAAACGAAGTTCGCTGGAGATTTTTGGTCTTCGAACTCTGGAATTGATGTAACTAATTTGTTCTGAAATGATCTGGGATTCAAATAAAAAATGTAAAATCGTATTATAGATTGACTGTTTTTAGTTCTTCACTGTAGTGCTGGTTGTCCTTTTCAGACTATCTCTACTCTTCGATTGTTAATACCTGCTAAAAGTCAATTTGAACATGGTATTAGCAACTCTTACTGTATCATTATGCGTTACGAATCACTCTTCATTTGAAATTTCTATCATGCTCCGTAATGACATAGATTATGACTGGCTCCAAGTAGAAGAATCTATAATTTCTGATCTACTAACTGATAAGTTTGTTTCAAAATCATAAACAGCTTGTAAAAAATTAACTGCTTAGATAACCTCAAATTTTAAATATTTATTAGTACAATGAGTGTCGTTTGTATTTATAGATTATTATAGTCCAAATAAAGTTTTAAACTATTCTGATGATCTAAATCCGAGATCTATAGTATAATACGAAATTTGTTGAAGCTGTCTTTCATTCATTCTCCTAACAATTTCATTAGTTATTTTCCGGTCTTTGCTTTTAATTATTTAGTGAATTATAATTGATTTTCGTTGGCTTTTTTCAAATTTTTACTTTTAACTATTTCTTATAGAAAGCTAAAGTGTTAGTGTCGAATAAGCTGCATTAATTTACTTCATAAGAAGGCAAACTCATTATGCACCAATTCTTTGTTCAATAAAAATGGCGGCTTTGTAATTATTCTATCAGTTATTGCTATTAACGTACGGTGACAAGCCTGAAGTCTGCATTAGATTTTATTATTGTTTTCGAACATCAAAATCGAAAGCACCTTCACGACGGGTTACTTTCGGAGTTGTGGTGAGCTTTGCAGCTGAAACTGTTGAGTTCTTAAACTATATACATTAGCGACTTGGTTTCTTCCATTAATTTGATTGATTTACTGCAATTGCTACAAATTTCTTCTATGAAATCTCTTCTTTTCCTTATTCACTCAGTGGAGTCTAAAGTCAAGGAAAGTTTTTTTTTTTGTTTTCAAGTACTAACAATACTTGCCTCATTTTTATTACTTTTCTCTTATATAATCCGATGAATTTGATTTCGTTTTTAACTTTTAATACTTAAATTTCTGTGGAAAAGGTTCAGCACAGTAAGAACATTCACGGAAACCAAATTTATTTTGAAAAGTACGTAAATTAGTAGTTAGCCTTATTTAAATATCACCAACTCCTTTGCTTCTTTCATACTAAGCCACTCCACAACTGTTACTGCTTTCCCTTTCTCTAGATCTTTATAATGTGAAAAGAAATGAGCACTTTTATGTAACAGATTCCTAGGTAGATCAAAAATAATTTTTTCAATTATCATAATAATTATCAATATTAGAAATATGTATAGCTAATACTTTTTCAGTTTCTCCTTTCTCATTCTTAGTAAGTAGAACATCTATTGGATGTATCGATATTAAAATACCAGAAGAGGTATTGAATTAACACCAAAACATCTTCTGCAGAATCACTGTCGTCTGCAGAAGTATTTAGTACAAATCCATAATTACAAAGATGGACGACTGCGGTAGATAAAAAGCTGTTGACTTATAATAAATAATCTCAAAATAGTTTTTCTTTCTAGATGTATTAATCGCCATAATGAAAGTTTATTCATGTTTTAATTTTAAGACGCAATATTTTTATTGAAGTTCAACTAAGTGTGATTTTTTAAAAAAACGAAAGTTGCTTGAATATTTTAGGGGAAATTAACTACCAAAACAATTCATTACCGGCAACAATAGGTTTGTCTATTTTCTCTTTTGTTCCGTTTATTGTTGATTCGGCTTAGCTTTTGTTTTGAGAACGTGTTGGAGAAAAAAATGTGCACAACTTAATGATCCATGATTGACAGTAGTTTCATTATTTATATGATTGACGTAGCTAGTTTGATATTTGAATTGACTTTTGTTGCAGGCACTTGTGATCGTGTTTTTGTTGAAGATAAAAAGGTTACTGAAAAATCGGTTTCACCAGCTCGTAGCATAACGGAGTTACCACAACATGACACAGTACAGACTATCGATGCTGATATACTGAATTTCTCGAGTTCGTCCTATTATTCATAACCTTTTTAAATATGAAGCCAATAATTCACAAAAGATTGTCTTCCAAAATCGTCAATGAAATGATGTTAGATGAAACTTTAAGTAAGCTTTCACTAATCCAATTATCTGTTTTTTGTTTAGTTTTCTTTTCCAGCTTATTTTTGTAGGCGAAGCATCTACTCCAGTACAGGAACCACCAGAATCAAATATTATCAATAATAGCGGTTTTGAATTGTCAAAATTGGATGTTCTCAGTGAGGAAATTTGGTATTATCACAAAGCGATCACACAAACGGAAGGCCTTCTCAATCGCAAGCTTCATCTTCGCGATGTTCTTTATTATGCCATTTCGCCTGTCTTTCCCAGTACGTAGTTGAGATGGATGATGGATTTAGTATTTAAACTGATCCTACTGAATGCAGTCATATCTGTAATAAGCCAGGCTTTCATTCACTTTGTTATTTTTGTTAGTCAAATTTCGAACGGAATATTCTTTGATATTGGTAAATTATTGGCTGGAAAAATGATTGGTAGTTATAATTCAAATGTTTTGCAGTGTGTGGTCTATATGTGGTAGGTTCATCATTAAATGGTTTTGGCACGAATAGCTCTGATATGGATTTATGTTTAATGATAACAAATAAAGATGTAAGTTGATAAGTTATTTATAAGTATTAATTTCTCATTACTACTTTACGTTCTTAAAGCACTGAAGTTTCTGGAATAATAATTAGCTACCAATCACTACATGCAATTATCAAAGTTCGTTTTAATCATATTCATCCAAAAGTGATATATTTGTTATTGCCGTTAGTAATAACTGATCACATTTTCGAACTCCTTTCAGAATCCATTTATATGTCATGTTTTTTATAGTTAATCTCTCTCACATGAATTCTAGATAAAGTTAGATTTTTTTGAAGATTAAAATGAATTTTTAGTTTTTATAAAATAAAATGTTTTCAGCTAGATCAACGAACAGATGCAGTGGTAGTGTTAAATATGATCCAAAGTGCTCTAGCTGAAACGAAGTGGGTTTCGCACATGCAACTTATTCTTGCAAAAGTGCCCATTTTGCGTATTCGTTTTTACGAGCCCTTCACTGATATCACTGTTGATTTGAATGCCAATAATTCGGTTGCCATACGCAATACACATTTGCTCTGTTATTATTCTTCATGTAGCTTCTTTTTTCTTCATTTATTATTTTTACTATACTGCTTTTTTTCATGTTTATGTTCTTGAAATTAATGGGAAGTCAACGTAGTCATTATTTCTGCTTAAATTGGGAGACTAAAAATGAGGCAGAACAAAACGGGTTTTAAATAACGCTAGAAAAATGTTACATTCAAACAGTTGTACTGCTGATTTCAAAATATTCATCGTATTTTTTATTATTAATTCAAAATTTTAGTTGACTGGAGAGTTCGGCCACTAGTGAGTGTTGTCAAAGAATGGGCAAAGCGAAGAGATATCAACGATGCGAATCGTTCTTCCTTTACATCTTATTCACTCGTTTTAATGGTTATTCACTATTTGCAATGTAAGTTTTTCCTATAATATGATTAAATCGGCTCGAAAATCCATGGACTGTGCTCAAAGGCATATCGAATATCTATTAAAAAATCTAGTGTCTAAACAAGAAAGAAGCTTTGTATTTTGCTGAAGTCTAAAAGAATCATTCTCCTCCTTCTAAGCTATCACATTTTTTTGATGTGCTCTATTTGTTTTTGTATAGAAGTGTCTTTTGTTTTTGAAGTTTTGTTTGTTATGATTTTTTTAGATCTTATGAGTTGCTTTTTATTGAGTTTGTCTCTAGTTAAGTTTCCCGTATTTTATCCATATACGGTTAGGCAATCACACATGGTAAAATATAAAAAAAAATATAAGCACAAACTCAATAAAAAAACCGTCCATGTGGAGGCTCCTACCAGACGAGATTGATTTTGGTTGGCACTATATTGAAGCTGAGTGGTTGTGATATTTGTCGTATTAATAAGTCTTTGAGATTTTTTGGTTTTGAGTTTTTTGTTTTTCTTTCTTTAGTTAGCATATTTTATTATTTTGTCTGTCTGGTGCAGAATGTTATACATCTTTGACTGTTTATCCTATTTCTTATATGAGAGGCTTTGTTTTGTTATCTGAATTGAATATAGTTTATTATCACAGGACGATGGTCTTTGGTTATAATATTAGCCTACTGTTATACTCCTGTTTTGATATTTTATTTTATTGGGAAGTTTTATCATATTGCTAATAATCGTTTGATCTATTATTTGCGTGGGTTTTAAGCTAAATTTAAAATTATTACTTAATATTTCCAATCTTCTTTTTCTGGTCGTTATATTGATCATCACATTAACAACTAAAGAATTTTTTAAATCTTCTCTTATTCATCTGATTTCGTTATGGATTAATCCTTTTGTCATTGCTGTATTAAAGATCACTTGTTTGCAGCGGATTTTCTACGAAACCAAACTACTTTTACATCGAGCATTTGCTATGATAAATTAAGATTTACTGGCTCAAATAGAAACTCTATGCACTCTATATTCTCTTACAAATTCCAGGTGGCTTGAAGCAGCCAATTTTACCATCGTTACAAGTAGTATATCCAAAACGATTTAGCGCAAGTGCTGATGTACGCTCGCTTAATGTTTCAAGTCATCTGGATCCGCCACCAGGATGGGTAACCAACGAAACGATAACGCTTGGCGAATTACTTATTGGTTTTCTCGAATACTATGCTTTTAAATTTGAGTAGGTTTATATAATTTGAAACTTCGCATTAGGTAAAAAGTTAAAAATTACTGAAATCTGTAAACACAGATAAGTTTAATTAAAAAATATATGTAATTAAGTCGCTTATTGAGCTTTGATAGTTTTTATGCCACAATAAAATAGACGTCTGATTAATTTTTGAAAAAATCCTACTACAGCTATTTGAAAGATGCGATATCGGTGCGTTTGGGTAGCAAAACAGAACGTACGGTGGTTGCACGACAACCCTCACCTTATAATAGTAATATTGCTCAGTGGAATTGCATTTGCATTGAAGGTAGTAATTAACTGGCTTTATTTTAAATTAGATAAAATTATGATATCGTGCCACGAACTACGATTGCAAATTTGGGATAAATTCAGTTCAAGAATTTAGTTTTACATATGAAATAGTTTTACAAAGAAAAAATTTTACAAAAGATTTTAATTTCAAAAACACATTACTAAACAGTTAAGAAAGATTATACACTAAATAAGAGCCATCTTAACTATTTGGTGGTGATTTTATATCCCCTAATAGTAAAGAGTTTTCATTAGACTGTGTACCTTATAAATGGAAAAGAGGTGATCAAATGAACCAAATCAGTGTAATCAAATGAACCGAAATCCTTTTTTTAATATACGTTTTGTATAACATTTTGTTCATATTTTTTTCAATGCTTATTTGCACTAGTTTATATACATTTTCTTCATATTTTAATGCTTATTTGCAGAACCGTTCACTTTATCAAATACAGCTCACTCCGTCCATAACCAGATGGTTTTTGATGCAATTCGTCAAGCATTTGTTGATGGTTGCTATGAATTAGATGGTAATCGCGACCTAAAAGCATTTCTTGATGTTGGACCAATTAATGTCAGCATTGGATCACTAGTGGGGTAATTCAGTTATTCTTTTCTTTGTTTTTAATTAAAAACGAATTTTTAATAATACAAATTCTAACTCAAATACACAACTAAGCACCTTAGCGCAATCAGAAGCAGGTTCACCAGCCACGACGAGTTCTGGTGATGTGACGTTAGCCAGTAAACATCTGTTGATAGTTTCGCTGAAATTAAACAAGAAAGGATGTAATTTCATGAAAGGAAATGAATCGCTATTGTTTGTTCCAGAATCTGAAATGAAGTTGGAAACAGCTATGGCTGTTCCACTTAACGAGCCGATTTGCATAGAGCAATACATGAGGTTCTTTTTTTGGAGGAAGGGGTGGGATAAATTTTGTAATATGTCTGTTGTTTACTAAGGTGCGATCTTGTCTCTTATGATTCATTCATTACATTCTTTTTTCGCTGTTTAGGGCTTCTTTGAATCATCAAAATGAATTTATTTTTTCGATACTTTAACCTCAAGATATTCATTTAATCGTAGCAACTTTCATTGCAGCCAGAGAAATGCATTGGTCAGCTATGAGAATGAAATAACAGATATAGTTAGCAATGGGGAAACTCCAAAAAGTACCATTGTTAGTACTCATCAATGTTTATTTTATCTTTTGAATAAATTAGTGAGTAAAAAGCAGGCATTTAAAATCATAAAGATTTGATTCTAAAAGAGGTATACATTCGCGAACGCCCGGAAAATCTACTTTTTTCCAGGATTTCATGGAAATACTACAGTCGGGAGTGGAATCTGATATTACATCATCTCTGTCTATTGATGATCAAGTAACTTCAACGAAGAGCGAGATTTCTAAAACTGTACTGTCTGAATGTCAGCCAGAACAGCTGCAGATGAAATCTGATGATGAAAAGTGAAGATTTTTTTCCAGATTTTATTGGAAGAAGATGGGAAGTTGCAAGCAAACTCTGAAAATACAAATCTTTATTGTCTGGCAGTAGTATTCTGCAATAATACTTCAAAATAAGGAAGTATAGCGTTAAATTATATTGAGATACTCTCTAATATTATCGGTAATATTTATAATTGCCTTATTACTGCTAATTTGAATTTGTATTTTTTAGACAGCGTGTTGATTTATCGAGATCATTTGAAGTCCTTACTAAGGAGAAGAATGCAGTGGAAGAACAGCAGTTTGCAGGTAAAATAACTATTCAACGACGCTATAAGACCAGTCATCGCATGTATGGTTCAATGGGATGTACAGATCGAAGTCATTTGAATAAGTCGAGTTTAGAACAACCGGTCGTGCGAATAAGTTATCGTTCTGGTACTGCTTCATCTTGACTACCAAAGTCAGGGTAATACGGCTCATGGCAAAATTTTGATGCAATATTTTCATGAAATACTTTTGGATATTAATGTAAGAAAAGCCCAAAAAAATCTTCCTTTGCAGATTTTGTTTTTATTGGTTTAATCTTATGTTATATTTGATAATTGTTCGATTGCTTCTTTTTCTTTGCCTGGATCCTTAAATTTTTAAAAAATTGAATTTTCTCAAATCTCGTGAAATGCCAACTTGAACTAGTTTTCAGAGATCTCGTCCTCATCTGTAACTCTCCACATCTCGTCTTTGTTATTATCATTATCAATCTTAATTCGCTCTTTCCTGCTTCGAATTGTCCTGTATAGATATATTTTTGGATTTTATTCAAATCCTATTTTTTATCATTTTCTTACTTCCTTTTGACGCTTATTATCATGAATATTGTCCATATTTCAGGATCTCGAGCAAATCAGCGATTTCTCGAATTTTTTTTGATTTTCTGGGAAGGTTGTTGATGGGAGAATTACTGAGCTAGAAAAATTCTCATGCGGTGAGAAAAACTTAACTGGGTCGATGTTTTTGTTTCACCATCTTATATATTGGTTATTTCACTTGTTTTTATTTCTTCGACTTAATCCTATTTGTGCTTATTTAATTTATTTGCAATTTTTGTTTCTTTCTTCATTAGAAAAACAAACAAAATTACAAAAAAAAATCAGTTTTTTAAATTTCTGTTTCATTTATTGTGTTTTATTCTAAATTTTTCTTATTATTTTCTTTACTGATTTTCATCGACAACTATGTTTTGTTCGATGACCATTAATCTTTTTATTGTCGAATAGACCTTATTGAGTCTCCTTTAGTCCATAGACTTTTGAGAAAATTTTAAGAACTGAGGATTGATAGATTCAGAATCTCCGAAATAAATTCACATTTATTCCTTTTATTAGGTTTTGCTCTCAACACTCTCTCATTTTTATGTATAAAGAATCCTGGATATTCTCATGTCCAACAAAAAAGATTTCTGTCTTTCTTTTCTTTTATACTATTGTATTAGAAAGAAATTGTATATTTTACTGGTAGTTTTGATTCCTCTGCATTGCTTCATCGTCCTTTAGATTACGTGTGGTTTAGGTGTTTCTCTATGAATAGTCACATGAGTATTGTTTAGATTCTATTTACAAAGGTACTTCTCATCCTAGTGATTGTTTAAAATTTTTCGTTCCGATCATTTTGTGTTTCTCCATTGTATTATACCATGAATGCTGTCACTATTTGTGATCCACTATGTACCCCAGTTTGCCAGTTTGATCTTGTTTTTATTTCTGTACCGGCCAGTCATGTTTGAGAATTACTGGTATAAGCAAAAATCTAATCTTACCTGTTGAACTTTAGCTCAGCTCTAAGTTACTGAGTTTCTTTCAATCCACTGAATTTTCTTGTATAACTAAATCACTAAATTCAAATGGATTATGTTAAAAAAAATTCTGAAACAACGAGGAAAATAGTGTAGGCTGTGCTGGTCCTGTTCATTAAATTTTTAGCCATTTATCTACTGCTCATCTTTTCTTTTTGTTCTCCAGCAGAGTTCAAGGCAATGATTCTGTCTGGAAGTGTGGGTCAAATTATATTACCAATATATTATTCCATTCTATATTCATCAAGGAAAAATGACTTGCTCAATGTCTCAGTTTACTGCATCTTTTTTTGGCACACTGTGCAATTTTACTGTGCTATAAATTTTAGAAGAAATGTTTACGACATATTCATGTGTTACTAATATATGAACGTCTCTTTGTTGCTGTTTCAGAAAAGAGACATTTCCAATGAAATTTGTCTTCCCGTATGTATATTTAATGTGAATCATCCGGAAATTTATTTGATGCATTAGGATGAGAGTATAAGACTTAACTTCCTCATGACTGTTAGATACGTTTTTTGCACAATTTCACGAAACAAGATGATTGCGGAAAGCATTATTTTTCCCTCAGATGAATAATCTCCTGTTTTTCTAGGACGCAGTAATTACTTAAATGAGCAACTGAATATTTATAGATAAAAACCGATATTTATGCGAAATCCGGGTAAAATCTTCATTAGATACAGGCATAACGTAGTAGGCATCTCAGGTAAATTCGAAGTTTACTTCCATAATAAAGTGGTTAATAATGTTCGTAACTCAACGAATCCACACTGGAATTTCAGAAAAATCGATTTTCTTGAAACCACACGGAACAAATATTTAAAACTATTTCATGCGATACACATAACACTGCGAAATTGTTGACATGTCCAAACATTTCCCTTCATTTAGCGGTAAACGGTGACATATTGACTGCCACTGTTGGCGAGCTGTTGTTTATATTACCATTGCACTGGCTCTGTTGATACTGCAAAGCGTAAGCAGTGGGATGAATTTTGAAACCATACAATCTGAAAATATGATGATAGTGCAAAGGTTTTGAAATCATTTTTTAAAATGCTAAGTCTTGTATCACATACCGGTATGCTTTCAAAGTTTTGAAGACAATGAAAGTTTCTGTATTCGAATACATTCAACAGAATGATCAATGAAAGAATGGAGGTCACACAACATAAATTACAAATAAATTGTAATTAAAAGCGCACAAAGTTCTTGAGAGGATATACAGGAAATTGAAATAATCTTAAAAAACTAGCTACAAACACTTTTATATCCCAGTTCATAATCTACTGTACCATTTCAATAAAAATTCGTGTTGTATTCTGAACTTAAAATGACGAACTTCCCTAAAATCCATTTGAAACCAATTTACTTTGACACGAATTATCAGACAATATAGCAGCCAAAGTGACTGCCTCCAGCTCCAAAGAAAATAATTTATACCGTGGAACAAAACTCGTTGCAGGTCGTTTTGGTCTTTCTTCAGGATGTACGAAGAAAAGCATATGAGGAAATCCTGTACCAAAATAAGAACCATCAGTATTCTGATGCTTTGATGATTTTGGCACATACACATCACAGCAACGAGGGCAATAGAGTTTTACCATCGATTCGCCAGGTACATCCGAAAGCCCTGAAATGATGAGAGTTAATTTATGGATCTCCAAAAAACAATCCCAGCCTATTATAACTGCAGTTGAAATATTTGTTTTTGACCACTAATGGTTAGGAAAATAAAGAATGCAAACCAAACCATAGTTTTAAAACCAAATATTTGAACTTTTTGCTTGTAAGAGGGAGAGAAGGTATACAGTAATAATTAAAGTAATCAAGTGATATAAATAAGACATGAAACACAACTGTCGGATAAATTGACTGTAATAAAGTCTTAAAATTTCAAAAAAGTAAATATTCGCCTATTGGTAGCATTGGTTGATTTTCGCAGTAAACACGAGGACATACGCCAAAATCATGATCATGCCATTTGTCAATCATTTGTTGGATTCCACGATTTGTAAGAATGTAGCGAGCATGAATTAGTCCATACAACATTTCAGCAGCTTGCTCAACCAAATCTGATTGATTCGGATTGTCTTCAAAGTCATCATCTAAAAAAAAGAAAACCTAGAAATGAGTCACAGCTTTTGGAAAGATTATCAGATGAATATGAAGAACCAATACTGTAACAAAACATAATTGAATACTACTTGACTTGATTTACATACAAACTGTATAAATTTATATACAAAATTATATACAAACTGTATAAATCAGATCAAGTAGTATTCAATTATGTTTTATTACACTATTGGTTCTTCATATTCGTCTGATAATCTTTCCAAAAGCTATGGGTCACTTTCTATTTTTATAATTATAATTTCTTTACGGATATTCTACTCTTTTTAGCTAAAAATCAAAACTTCCCGAACTAAACTTTTTTCATATTAAAAGTAATTAATGAGAACTAACAAAGTCTTCCAATGCAACAGAAGATGAATTAGTCTCAATTAATGCAGCATGCCAAATATTAAGAATTAACTTTTATCACAGCTTATATTATGCCAGTAATGAAAATGAAAAAAAAAACCTGGCTCTAAATCCAAAATCATATCCAATGCTTGTCGATAATGTGGCACTTGTTCATTAAGACCTGTCAAATTAAATTTATCCTGGATGTATTCTTCGTCTACCTGAAAACAAATATGAAAAAAGTGCGTGTCTTCGTTGGTGAAAATTGACTGAGAAAAAAGATGTAATAAATATTTTAATATAAAGACTCATGCGGCTAACTAACTCATAGTACGATGAATTCCAATTCGTCGTACAGTGTAATATCAAAGAACAAAAAAATATGTACAAAAGTAAAGTGATAAAACGAGAGAATAACTATATAAAGCGAACTGCAAATATGATTTATTTCTTATTCTCAACTATACTAAACTGCTCACAAATTTTCTTCCTTGCTATTAAATTAAGAACTGTTAATAACTGACTTCACAGAAGAACTCATTCCCTCGTAGGCCACAGAACCACGTAATCCACGACACTTCCTCCGAACTACTCATTTCGGAATCGGTGTGATACTGCAACCTTCTCACTATTGTTTCTTTGCTGAAATATGCTTTTTCAATTTAAAAATTACGAAAATCATCCTCTACAGTTCAAACTTTTGTCAATTTAATACTGATCCAATATCCATGTCATATTGAATTTTTTTTAAGAGTAAAAAAGTATAGGAATGCGGAGCTTAAAAAATATATCTAATTAGGACCTGAAGTGTAGCTTGCTCAGTTGTTTAGTAATATAGACGGATCGGTCCAGTTTCAGATAGCGTTACACACCGCTCTACAAATTGTGTCAAATGTATAATTCGTATTCGTAATGACAAGTTGATCCAAAAAATAAGTTGACCTAAAGACCCCTCCCTTCCCTGTCTGCCTTCCCACATGTCCCTTACCCAATCAGCATCAAAACGCAAGATCACCATGTTTGAAAGAAGGAAAACGTGGCCCGACCAGATGGTCATGATGTAAAACAAAATCTCAGATATAGGAACTCTTGACGGTTGCTGTTGATTGCAAAGGTGTCCCAAATGAAGTCATCCATTTGTTATAAATATCACTATATTATCTAAGACTATTAATTTGTGAAAGAAAATTCTATTTGTAATTTATAACTACACTGCACTCAATACGAATCTTTCAATAATTTGCTTATTTATTCAATTCTCATTTCATGCAAATAAAATTTCTGAAATATAGTTAAATATCTTTTATGAAATAATTTAACCAAATTTTTGGAGCTATTGATTATAAATGAAAGAATCCTGAAATGGGTTAGTAATAGAAACTTTGATTGTTCTGATCCGTTTCCTTTCAGCATACTGCTTTTCTTATTTTTTTGATTATAAAAAAAGGTTTAGGGTTAACAATCACAGTATTAATAAAGCCGAAGCATTATCTTGGCTTAATTATGCTATCAGATTATGTCATGGTCACGCATTTCGATCAATTAGATGATAAAATTAATGGAAACACTAAAGATTTGGTCATTAATTTTGTTAAGGTGTGGCAGAGGAATTAATACAAGAAGCAGTTGTAAAAAATAAAGAAAAAATAGCAATAGTTAAATTTACTATCTGGTATAACATTAGGAATGCTAAATTAATTAGGCATTAACTGAAAATAAATAATTTATTATAAAGAAAATGTGTTTTAGAACATTGTACAAATCACAAATTGCTTAATTATTTCATTAATAATTCAATTTACATAATTTTAAGTGATTTACATCATGTAATATAAAGCAAGTCACGTGATGTCATATAATTTAAATCGCGTAATGTAAGTCAGTTTTATCAAGTTTCGGAAAATAAATCCGTTAATAGTGATAAATTTATACTCATCATTGTGACTATTCGACTCTAAACGTACTTTAAGTCGATCGCTCTTCTTGCCATCATCAGATGAGTTTTAGTCACAGCTGAAGCTAAGCTACGTTACTTTCTTCAAACATTCATACTTTTATTATGTCACACTTAGCTATTGCTACTGAACTTACGAAGCCCCGGAGGCTTTATACTTTAACAAAATGCACTTGCCAATAATCTATAGTCGTGATAACACTCGCCAATTTATTATCAGATTTCGGTTATCAATTTTGTAGATAGCAATTTTATCATAGAATAAGCTGTTCACTAAGAAAGCATCCTCGCGCTCACGATGTGCAATTATCAAATATTACATTACAGTACTGATTTTTACAATTAGCAAAAAAAATATTAAATACAAAATATTAATCCTACCAAATTTAAGTTTAAACACATTTTTTCCATCTATCAGTGAATATTTTAATCTTTTCGTAGTGCTGAGATGAAAATAATCACAAGTTTGAAGAATTTGCAAGATTTTTGCAAATCTAATAATTGTTAATTAGATGTATTAATCAGTGGACGAGATAAACACGTAATCATTGACTAATAAGTACATTTTACTTTATATAAGGTTCCAAAAGAAATGACTTAAACTATTTCGATTTAGACAAAAGACAAGAAGAACTTCTCATTTTCTAAATCGGCTAACCGGATTAATTGATTATCGATGTATCTAAATCACCCATCGTCGTCAACATCAATTAACCAATCTAATTTTAAATTAATCAGTAACAATGTCATGAATTCCAACGATTTCAATTGGCGCAATTATTCGTACAAACAATTCATGAAATTTTGAATTTGAATTTGGCGCCAATTGTTTGGAATGCTGCGCAGGAGAACAAACAGCATGTGTGCTGCTGCGATTTCCCAGATGGATTCGGGCGGATCAACGGTGGTGGTTACTTTTCGCGCGGATAGGGCTTGTTGGTGTTGACGATTGCCTGCCTGTGAACCGATGAGGGTCATTTGATCATGAGGAAATGCGCAGAAATCTAGATAAAGCGATCACTACTAATTAAATTGATCTTATCCATGATTGATCTTTGATCCTTTCCTATACATGAAATCATTGTCAGCTAAGTTTAGTTGAAGACGAAAACAGTGAAGGAATTGGCCGTTGTTTGTTGAGATTTCTTTATATGTCACTTTCTGGATTCGAGATGACAGTGGAAAAATTACCACCGAATGAATTTGTAGTTAAGGTATTATTTATGATCATCAATTTTTCAATGCTACTTTTATTCTATGTTGTTAATTTAAACTTTTGACTTCGGAAAATTTTTCGGAAATTTCGTGTTAATTGCTGTGATAGTTTTAGGTACGCAGAGGCCGTATGGATCGGCCAGTTTACATGAAGAGAAGAGCCATTATGATATTCAATCCTGATCAAAAAGACATTACTTTTTCATACGATAATTGTTGCACTGTATGCTTTATGTTTCTATGATAATTTATATATTTATTTTATTCCAATTCGAAGCTTCATTTGATATGATATTATATTTTTTTCTTTTCTGTCTTTTCTTTTAACTCTTTTATAATCACTATTTTTCCTTCAGTTTAAGTTTTCGTTATCCTGTCGAAATTTCATTCGGGAAATTTTACTGCACAAGAAAAACCACATTCAACTTTTCAGATATTAAAAACGAAGTTCATATCGCAAGTGCCTTGGTCACCGCCACGAGGATGCACACTGCGATTCATGTCAGACACTCGAAATGAGGAGGAAATGATTTTAGAATTTGAAGATCATGGAAAACTGATGGAAGCATACTCTATTTTAAAGAGCAGATATTTAGGTATTATATCGAATCTTTTATAACCTTCATTACAAGCAAAAACTACGAGTTAGTTATACTCTTAGATCAACTTGATAGAATACCTTGTGATTTTTATGACTTTCTACATACTTTCTACATTTCTACATTTTTACAGACTTTCTATATACCTTTGAAACTTATCACACACATAGTTTTATATTTGCTTCTTTCTGTTAGAATGCTCTAATTCTAGACTATATTTATGAAATGATTCTTTTCAAAACAAAAATGTATGTATAAACTTTTGTACATAAGAAATTTAGCTTTGTAAGATCTATTATTGCAGAACGATCGCAATTTGTTTTTTCGAGTGAACCGCACAGTAGTCGAGGCTTGCATACAACTACTGAGGAAAGCGCAGTGGAAAGACCTGCTGAGTTAGTTATCTTTTCATTGAAAATGTGTTACACTTATGGTTTTATCATATGCAAAAATCTATGCCTATTTCAGTATCGAAACACCTTTAATGGTTATGGATTCTCGACGAAGTCACGTTAAAGACCGTGAGTTCTTTTTTTGTTATGAAAGTTTCAGCAACTATTCTAACGGAGCATATTTACATTGTGCTCAATTGGACAATTTATACACCAGTTAAGAAATCAGATTCTATTCTTAAAACGTATGGAAAACAAATATTTTAATATGTATTCAAAATGCAGGAATGTTGCGTTTCATATAATCAACGAATCTAATTTGTTTGCGATACTTCTGTAATTTCACTTTCTTTGGAGGTTGGATGAATTGGGATGCTTTAGCTATAGCAAATCAAATTGATAATAAAAATCGGTTTCCGAAGAAAAATGTTACAGAAGAGGATAATGTTTAGTCGTTTCTAAATTTACTCGGTTTACCGAGAAAATCACATATTTAATATACCCATAAAAATAAAAAGGATCCTCGTGAATAGAGGATTTTAACATTTCTTCTGTTGTCCTTTTTTTCTATTTCTTCAGTTGGAAATGATTAAATTTTTTACTGTACTTACTAATTTTGCGATATCACTTTTTAGTTATAGACATGTTCGAGCGTCTGTCATTTTCGCCGCCAAGTGAAAAACGATCTAGGCAGTCTGAACCACCAAGTGAGATGAAAACAAAACATATAAAACCGTCTCTTCTAGTGGAACGCGTAGAATTGTCGCCGTCGACAGACCGTCTAAAATTCTCATCGCTACAGTAAGTAATTTAAGCAGGAAAAGTAAATAAAAGTAAGATACTTCACATTTTTTGTTTTTTTTTTACGAATTTTCTTTTTTTTTCAAATTAACTGTTGCTTTAAACATGCAGATCCGAAGAATCAGAGAAGATTAAGAGAGAGCATGACCCGACTTTTGCCGAATACTACAAGGTGGGCGATCTCTTTTCGTAGTCTTTTATTTTTTATTTCATTTGTGCCAGGTTCGTTGATATCCATTACAGGAGGGATTTTCTCCAGTGCAGTTGACACCAGCAATATGCACTCCGGATAATTATAAAATGGATGATTACATCATTAAGCCAACTACTTCGAAAGAAAAAATCTCTGGGTGAGTTTTTGAATCCATTTATTCTACCGCATTTCCAAAAACAATTCGTGTAATTCATATAAAGTACTAAATATAATAATAATTCTATCATTTTGTCACTAAGCCAACTGAAAAAAGACTTAGAAGAATCTCCATTGCAACACGTGATCTTCAGTCATATATGTTCAACGATTGTAATGAATTGAATAGCCTGATTTTCGTCCAAGTTGCTTCTAGTTCCCAGGATTTGTTTTCTCTCAAAAAAACAAGTTTTTTTTTGAAAGGAGGTTATAATAATGTACAAGTTATTTAAAAAATATTCTGCATTTCCCTTTTCTAGTTTCTGTTTTATATCAAAAAACCAAGAACTTTATATGTGTGTTACTCATTCAAAATTAATGTTATTTTTAATTTTAAGATTTGCTAATCTCGGCAACACGTGTTACATGAATGCGATGCTGCAGGGACTGTTTGCTATGGATATTTTCACCAGAGATCTTTTCAAGTTTTGTAAGAAGGTTCAGAGTCGTAAAATAAATTTGGATGAAGTAATGCCAATGAGCTTGTATGTTTTGTTTTTGCGCATTAAGGATTTATGATAGTAGAAATCACTGTTGGAAATGTTGTCCTTTAAGATTTTTTTTAATGACACGATATTAAGATGAGATTAAGTGAATGTATAAACTTAATATTGTTTGTGACAGAAATGAAAGCTGACTGTGTTTTATTTTTAGAGCACTTTCGAGTCTTGCAAGCGTTCGGGATAGACCGTTATGTCTTCAAAAACAAGAACTGTTGAAAGCAGTAAAAGATGTGTCATGTTTTAAAGGCAGCGCTCAGCAGGTTGGTAATTTTTTTCATACAATACATTTTTCGACTTATTTTTAAATAAAATTGGATTTCTCAACTTTCTTTCAAAAATTGCTCAAATCTTGCTTATTTGATAGATATGAAATATGAAATAAATTTACTATAAAATGTTTAATGTATTAAATATCTTTTATTTCACAGTAATGTAGTGCACTATTTTTCTGTGCTAGCAGCACAAATAAAGACTGTTGAAATAAGATTTACTCATGTGAATTAAATGAGTTCAAAATGTCAGTTTAGGATGCCAATGAATTCTTGGTCCATGTACTCAATCAAATTCACGATGAATGCGATAAGGTATTGCGTGGGCAATATGGAATTACAGATACCACGGAAAGACGCATACGAAATCCAGTAATGGCAAACTTTGGTTTCACTACGCAAAGCACTATTATCTGTGATACGTAAGCTATGCATATTCGTCTTCATCAGTAGCCCAGCAATAGTTGAATAGCATAGCCAAATGTTTGAAGAAGTTTCTTTTAAATTTAAAATTTAAATTCTCTCTAATTTTTGATAAAAAATTTTCAAATATAAACACATTTTTCTGAAAAATCATTAAGGATGGAAAACGAGTGCCAGAGCCATTCTTAATGATTTTTCAAATACTGGGAATAGTAAGTTATCTCAGTAGTATATTCAGGTGTCATCATGTCTCACAAGTTGATGAAGATAGCATCATTTTGCCAGTTACTATCAGCGTTTTGGATCAAGCAAGTGAACGGTGAGTAAATAAGTGTAGATGCTAATAGAGCAAATTGAATAATTTTTGCTATGTTTAAATCTTTGAAGGTCTAGGAAAAGAGACATCCGGTAAATGCATAAATGTTTGCGCTTTTTTCTATCTCAGAAAATTTTAGGTTTTCGAAAAAATTTTTACGTTTTCCAAACGTACAGACGCTGTTGGATGAGTTTTTGAAGACGGAAAACGTAGAGAGGAACTGCGAACTTTGTCAAGGAAAAAGTGGACAAAGGACACAGAAATTCGTTCAACTTCCACGGTAATAAAAGACAGTCAATATTCATTTGTTTTATAAGCTCTCTCGCGTATCGTTTGCTCTGTTAAAATAGAGGACAAACCAGAAGAAAGTTTGGCTGGCTTAAATATGATAAAGCATAAGAAGAAAAAATGATATTGAGAAAAAAATATTGCTCTAAATAGCAGTGCCAGACGATTTGAATAAGCTATAATGACACGAGGAAATGAATTATACGAAAGGTTGAAGAATTAAATGAATAAATTTCTTTTAATTTTAATTTTATCTAGTTTATTCCTTGCAGATGTCTCATAATACTCATAAAACGTTATGCTTATGATGTATCGAAAAGTGTGAAACGTAAGGATAAGATTGATATTCCCTTATATCTGACTTTAAATGGACATTGCACTGAGTCATCAGTTCCATTTCTCGCCGTACCACCAAGTACAAAGTAAGTTGTCTCAAACATAAAGCAAATCATTTAAGGGGAATATTTGAATATTTCACTGCATAAAACCGACTGAGAAGAGGAAAAAAAGTATCGGGTGTGAAACAATGTTTCTGAGTTTATTAAAACAGTTCAAGTTATTGTTGCGCCTACCTTTTAGACATTCTATTCTTCCCTATTTTACATATTAGTTTCACTTACTACTTCATGAAAGTCTGTAAGATCAAGGACCTCATTTTCTTGACGGAAAATTCTAGAAAATGCAGGTCCAGTAATTAAGTCATCTTGCCAGTTGACTATATTTGCAATTAGGCTTAGATTTAATGATTCTTATTTTAGAAAGATCGATTTCGCAACTGCGAGTCCAATCAAAACAAAGCTATTAGGAACATCAACTAATTCACCTTCACCGGCTAGAAGACGCCTATATTTATCAGATGTACAAACCAGTTATGATACTCGAAAAGCCAGTACTGCAGAGGAAATACATCCTGCGATAACAAGTCTCTATGATCGTTCTATGGATTACAGAACAAGTAATCATAGAAGTACAGCGACCAAAAAAAAATTGAAAGCCACGAAATTTAGGAAATCAATTTGGACTTCCATGAAAAGATGGAATTTTAAAATCTGGATAAACATGGAGGAAATTAGATCATAAATAAATCTGGAACTTAAAGTAAATATATAGCTTAAGTAAACACTGATTTGTATAAAAAACGTTTGCAGTGCAAAGTAACATAGCTGCGAATCACGATGTGGATTTTGTTGTTCCTGATACTGGTTCGAGCATCAAGGTTTGCAAGTCAAATAAGCATAAAATTCCTTTTTTTAATTTCTTTTATTTGAAGTAACAGATAAAGCACATAATGATATTAATTACAGGGCGAAGATCAAATAATTGAGAACTTTGTTGTACCACGCAGCTCACCGGAAGAGTATTTTTCTCATTTTTTTTTTTTAATGGGATGATCAAGTTGCACTGGGACAAATTTTTAGGGAAAACCATTAACTAGTATCTTTTCTGAGTACCTTCCATGTAATAGTCATTCTAATCGTCCAACTGATAATATAGGAGTGGTTGTACAGCAGGTATAAAGAGCAAAATGAAAGCATTTTACTCATTGATTTCTGTTTCAGTTTTAAGAGACCGAGGTCACCGAGAAGCATAACATGCGAAGAATTAAGCCGTATGACCGAAGAAGAGCAACTGAAAGTGGTAAGTAATGGCTTCTAAAACTTCAAAACTGGAACCGGTTCAAGTCTGATCATTTCTTATGACGGAATCTTGCCCATCCTCCCAGTTTCACAAATAAATCAATAAAATCATTTGAATGTTAAGACAGTCAATAGGCTGAAAACTGGTTGCTCTATAAGGTCTGACTCTTCCGGTTAATCTGAATGATGATTAATATAAATGCATTGTATAGGTATGCAGACTAGCTATATAATCCGTTGAAGTTCACTCCAAAAATATACGTATTTTAGATTTATTGAGATAGTCTGTACCACAATTATATAAAATATACATCAGTAATTTTTAATTGCAGATTTGTGAGCGGAGTTTATTACAGACGAAGTTTGTGATTAATGAGAATAAATCAAGTGATTCATCATCTATGTCTCTTGAATTTCCCGAAGTCGAGGCCGAAGAAGAGGTTTGAAACATTTTAAAATACTCTGTGAGTCTTTCAACGTCGATTTAAAAAATTTTTAAATTCAACTTTTTCTTTTTTCTTTGGAAATCTTTTAGGAGGACGAAGCAGAAGTGCCACGTGCGCAGACTGATGATATTTACAGCTCTCGTAAAGAGAAGTCAGGGGACAAGTTAAATCCAGATATAAGATTATCTGAGGAAATAGGAAATGAGCGAGTTGGAAGAAGTGGGCAAGAAGTCCAATCTGTTAGCCTTCAGGAAGAAGAAAATAGTAATGAGAATCGTGCCGAACCTAATAGTGGAGCTGAGCTTGGAATTGCAAGTGTTATTAGAGGAATGTCCATGGAGGAAAGAGTAATAGTTAATGCTGATATGAACGCTGAACGAATTAAGCAAGATAACTGCGAAACAAAGTCTGGAGCTGTAAGTTTATTAAAAAAATAAAGATATATTGCGGTAATAAAATGGATCAGGTGAAGAAGTTTTATACAACACGGATCTTCAGAATGTCAAAAAGGAACAACATATCTTAAAGCGTCAAAGACTGAAAATGGGTTGTGTGAAAATTTTGCTACTGAATGACGGCAAAAGCTGAAAGTCCCGTTATTCGTTAGAGCTTTGATATTGATATTTTTCGACGTTTTAACAGCTGTTATTCATTTTATTGAGCTTTTTTTGCTCTCTGTAAAATATACAATATTCCCAAAATATCTAAATTCAACATAAAGATTGAAATTCTTGTTTCAGGCTAAAGAAAGCTACGTGAAGCCTCTCACAAAATCACCAGTCGCCTATGAACTAGTGGAAGAACAAAGATCGGAGAATTATGCTATTAAAGAAATTGTGGCGAAAAATTTCGATGTGTTACACTTGTCACAGAGGGAAACAAAAATTCCAGCACAAGATGTGCAAAGAGGTGATGAAATTATGGGTGTATATTTCGAAAATAACAAAATGAGATTGATTTCATATAGCCAATAATCAATTTTGCTTTTATTCCTTCGACAATTGCATATTCTTCTAATAGTGGTTATCTCTTTCAGCTATTGAAAACAAAAGAGAGTCAACTAGACCGTCCACACCTGTTCCTCCTAACACTCCAACCGGTATGACCGAACAAGATCAAGAAAAAATGCCGGGCGTGAATCTATCCATTGATGATGATGATGATGTGAGTTTTAGCAATTTGCGTATATCTGAAGATTTTTGCATCACTGGGTGATCCTAAATGAGGTGATACTTTTTCTAATATAAGCTCAAATTGTCATTTGTTGTTCAATATATTTAGTGTTCTATTTGATCTCCTTAATGGTTAGGTGCAACTAAAGAACACTTTCGCAATATACAAATAAAATAAATTTATATTTTAACCTGCTGTATCAAGCTACATAGAGTCGCAATGTTATTTCAAGATATCACCTGTAATTTACCATTTGGATGGATGCGAGAGAACTGGTCTCTTACATTTAAATTTCACTGTTATTTAATCGAGAGGTAAATCACTCATATTCCTTTTAAGAGAGAAATTTTGGAGGAGTCCGGCGTGCAAGTAATACCGTATAAACCAATGTCTGTTGAAAAGCGACGTGCTGTTTGTTCTCAAATTGGTTTACTCTTCAATTACGATTGCATGTTAGGTTTTCTTTTTAAATTTCGAGTCTGTTTTCGGCACTTTTGAATGAAATAAAATGATGTGGGTGACATAAATGATCGTCCAAAAAACATGTGAATAGTCAAAGAAACAAGTTTTCAAAATTCTTAATTCTACGCTTATGTTGGTAGAAGTGAAATTCCAGTGAAAAAACCGTTGTTCGCGTAATGAATCCAAATGATCGTCCATCTCGAGTTGCTAGTATTGTTGGTGATGGCAATTGCCTATTCCGAGCACTGGCTTTTTACTTCGCTGGCAGTGATATCGAACATTCGAGAGTTCGAGAATGTGTAACACTTTAAGAATCTTTTATGTACTAATTCTAAAAATGCAAAGCAACTCCAAATTTTAATATAAAACTATATTTTTCCATATAAAATATATTACTCTATGATTTATTCCCATAAATATATGTTCAGTTACATATTGGAAGAGCACTGGAAAATCAAATTTTATAATGAATTGTTTCTGGTTTTAGCTCAGTTTTGCAATGCAAAATGATTATGGTTTCGTAGATGATATAAATATGAAGGTAATAAGCTTAGCACGAAAATGTATGTAAATCCTAATCTACGATATATTCGACGAAGCTTAGATTTTTATAAAAATCCATTAAATTTAACACCATAGCGAGTTTGGGTTCAGTTTGAATGCATTATATTGTGAGCCAAATTTTTGTCAGCTCAGATTATGTTGTAGATTGTTGAATTTGAAGCGGAGCACTGGAATGAATTTGCTTCTTTGAAAGGCTGGTCATCAGATGTTTGGAATGATCACATGGATCATTTGTTAACCGATAATACATGGGGCGGTGATATTGAACTTTTCGCAGTCGCAGCAATGCTAAATGTTGATGTGTGGACGTATTATGATCAACGATGGATTTGCTACCGGCCAAGATTCAAAGTCCAAGATGGTGATGTTATACGTGAGTTTGTATTATCTTTTTTTTGTTGATCCCAACAATGATTTAAATCAGAATTGTGAGAAATTCACCAATTTATTTTCTTTATAAAAAAAGTACGCTTCTTTTTAAATCTTGAGTTGTTGTAGAAACTTCGTGCAAATTAAAAGATCGAGGCACTTGTTAAATGTAAAATTAGTGACTTGTTTTGATGAAATTAAATTTATAATACCATTGCAGCTTTCACCAATGTAATTGAAAATAAAGCTTATTATATCAAAACTGACAAATATATACTGTGCAGCTAGACATGATGCCAAAACTTTTAGCTATATCAGTTAAGGACCATCGTGCAGGTAATAACGACGGTATATATTTACTGAATGAATTCAATCACTATACACCGGTGCTTGAACCTTCGGTTAGAGCTTGTATTTGTTTGTGTTATTTCAAATCGATTATTGTTTGGCACTTGAATAGTCTAGTTACATTAAGTCATTGATTTTGCTTGGAAACTATTCAAGTTTTATGCTGATTACTTGATAACTTAGTGGTGATAACTTGATTTAGAATGCACTTCTCCTGATGGAAGGTGCTGACGAGCGAATTTGTGATCTAGTTGTAAACGCCAATGTAAGTTTCAGCCTGACTCAATTATTTTGGGTGGTTAGCATATTTTAGATAACTCTTGAACCGACATAGTTTTTATATGAGCTTTTTTTTACTTTTTTTTATTTTCACTAATCTGTTGTAGCTCCGGCTCAATTTTGAAATGAGGAGCATCGCAGCAACTTTAGTTTAGAACTAACATGGATTTCTGTAATGGATGTTTTTTCATTAAGGAAGGTTTCATGAAGCCGTCTTATCGGCTTGTATCAGTTATCAGTCATATCGGTGACAAAAGCGAAAGCGGTGAATATTTTGAATTCATTTTAAGAACGTTGTGGTCAGCTTTTATATATTACATTTCTTTACAGAAAATTTTATCGATAAGAAACTTAAATTTTTAACAGCGTTAGAAATTTAAACAACAAAACCTTTTTTTAGGCCATTACATATGTGATATTTGGTGCAAAAAAAATAAAAGCTGGCTGCAGTGTAATGATGAAGACGTTTTGGCGATCAGCGAAACAAGGGTACGGGCCAGGAATAATGTTGGATATATCTATTTTTATCTTAATAGGTGATTTTTGAAAATTCGCCTGTTAAATGCTGTATTGATTGCTATGAATAGACAAAACTTAGTATCGTGTTAAGTTTTCCATATTTAAAATTTTGAATACTACTTCATTTTTCATAATTTAGCAACAGTTCCAGTGATATAATCGTGTACTAGAGAGACAGTTATTGCTAGCGATAATGATCTGTTCTATTTGTGAAAAATTTTTTTTTTTTTGTGAAAAACAGGAAAATTTTTTGCTTCTTTAGTGTAGTATTATTAAAAAGAGAATATCACTCCTATACTCCTTTTGCAAAAACTTTTTTTCAGCGAACTGTTCGAGAGTGAGAATGCTTGACCGGTGAAAAACAAGAATCAGTTATTATTTTATTTATAAGTGATTAGCAGTTTGAAAATTTTCTGGTTTTTTCTTTGCAATTTGTTCAAATTTTCGAGTTTTTCGCTGCTCTATCCTGAAGTTACCGTTTTCATCTGACTGAATATGAATGTGATAACTGTCAGTTTGTTTCTCAAAGTTTCGAATGAGTATCAAAGAATTCGGTAGAACGGTTGCTTCCATATCGCAGCGAGTTTTTACGTGCTGTTTGTACAATGTTCATTTTATTTTCGAATTAATCGTTTTTTTAATTAAAACAGATAAAAAGGTGATGTTGCGCACATCAATCACTGGTTCGGAGGTTTTCAAGTGGAATATTGATAATGAGCGATGATTTTCATCGTTTTTTCTCTGACCAGTTTCGCCGTCTTTTTATGTTATTATACCTGGATTTTATTATTTGTATTGCACTATGTGTGAGGTGAAGGTGGATTTTCTATTTAAAAAAAAAAAAACCGTTAGAGAAGGCGTGCGTGAAGCGAGATCAATCCGGTGAAATTTAATCAGTCAGTAATGTTGACATTGAGAAGAGAATTGTTAAGTAGCTCTCTTATGACAGGAAAGTGGGCTGAATTAGACTAATCCAAATTTTTTCGTAAGAAGGGAATACAAATAGGCTCACTGACAATCCTAATATATTCCAGCAGCTTGTGACTGGACTTGTTGAAATGATCAAATGATCTACAAGAACGATTTATGCTTTTGAGTCATCCTCAACTATAGCTCATTTACCTCATCAGTTGGTTTTGTTCCGGAGCAGAATAATTTAATCGACGTGTGCTGCGAAATTGCTACAACCAATTTCCCTCTTTCTTCAGCTATCTATGCTTTTTGTTCGCAAATTTCTATTCCAATTCTCGTATTGGGATATTTCAACATTCTGCTTTATATGTCGTTTCTGTCTCCTGAACGATACTTTTCAGTGCTTAGACCCCTCTTAGTTATGTCTCCCGTTGTCGTTAATCTTTATGTTCAGTGAGGATGATTTATGTTCGCATTTTAATGTATCCTTTTATGCTGCTTTTCGTATTCCGTCGTATAAAAACTTCATGCCATCCTGTCATCCGGTTAAACAGAAAAACTCGAAATTGGAATCGCTTCTATTTCAAATCATAGCAAAACGAGACGTTACCCTGTAGCAAAATGACCGACAACATTTGGATTTGGGGTTGAGGAGTGATGATGTGGATTATTGGCTCATTTTAATTAGTAGGCATCGTAAGGACTGTTGAACTTTAGTTTTCATTTAATCCTTTCATGTTGTTGCCATGTAGTAATCATCTTGCATTTCAATAAGTTTCTTTTGGTAACTGCACTGTATCTTCCCAGTGTTTCATCTTACAGCTTATAGTTTATAGCGCTTATAATGCCATGTTTTTACCTGCTTTCGGATTAGAGTTGCTTCTGTTTCAAATCACAACAAAGCAACACATTTTCCAGGAAGGGGTACTCCCCGCTAAACTAATGGCTTCTGCTTCAACGAAACGATTGATTGCTATCATTACAGGTATTTATATTGTAATGTTTCCTCTGTTTTACAGATCTATTTGGTTCAAATTCTTTGAAATGCACTTCTCTTCAAAATTTACATCCTTCATATTCATGCTTTATGCATCTCCTGCCCTGTTTTTTCAGTTTTTAATTAAATATTCATTATACTGTGGAATTTAAAGGTGCAAGTTCTGGGATTGGTAAAGCAACAGCAGAATATTTTGCTGCGAAGGGCTACAATTTATCATTGAGTGGTCGAAATGAAAAGGCGCTCGAAACAACTGTTAACAATTGCATTACGAAAGGCTTAGGCAAAGATTTGGTATCATTGGATAATAATTTTAATATATTTGATTACGGCAATATTTCTTGCGGATTAGTGAGTTTACCAAAAAAGGAACGTTAAGCTTGAAATTCAAGAATGCTGATTGTCTTTAATTTGACGTGATGCGAAGATGGTTGAGATCTGAGGTTAATATATTCCTTTCTGACAAAGAATCAGGTGTAAAACAATAGGCAGATTTTAATAAAAGATGGAGCAAGACCATGTTCTCCTATGTGGAGAATAGAGCTTGAATCTCAATATGCATGATAGATACTGCAAAGTTATAGCACATCAATAGTATTTCAATTTGCTGTGACGAACATCTTCAAAATAGTATAATCCGTAATAAAAAAGCCGTAGTGTTTTAGCATAAATGAATGATAAATAAAATATAGGATAAAGGGATCTGTCTGATTTTTGTTAGCTTACTCAGGAAGTTGCTTAAATTTTTTGTTACAGAGTGTATATTCTGAGCTCTAACACTGTATAGAGTTATCATTTTCACACTGCAGAATAATTATTAGATTTCATGATATTTTATTGGAAAAAGTTCTAGATAAATTCTTATTTATATTATTTAGATTCTGACTACTTTGGGAGATTTAACGGATGAGAAAGTTGCAACGGCTTTGATCGAGCGTACAGTGGAAAAATTTGGACGAATTGACTCGCTGATTAATGCTGCAGGAATTCTAGTTAACGGTATGGTTTTAATATAGAACTTAGGATATTTTCAAACTAAATGGATAATGAAGCAATTTAAAAGATAATATTCTGAAACCTCTTCGCAAGGTTTATATATATCATCAAATGCATTACGCGAACGCGACATTCTGGTGATCTCGGCGACGTGACAAAAATTCCTAATGTGCCCTATGATAGAGGCTGCACGATTTAGGAAAAGTAATGGACTGTTCTATGGAAGATTACGACTATCTGATGGATGTAAATCTTCGAAGTGTTATTCAATTAACGCGGAAAGCCATACCATATCTTATTAAAACGAAAGGTTCAATTGTGAACGTAAGCAGTATCAATGGTCCATGTTCCGTCAGTCTTGTGTTCTTTATCCAAACAATTCAAAAAATCAATTTCAAGACTTAAATTATATTTCGATAATGTTAATTAAACTGAAGTTAGATTAGCATAGTAAGATTTGGATTGCATCCACAATGAGGTCTCTTTGTTTTAAATTAAAAACTGATGCATTAGATGTTCACGTCCCTTTAATCCCTTATGTACAGGCGAATTTAATTTGATGGAATTTTAATATAAATTTCTTTCAGTTTGGTGGTGTAACATTCTATTGCATATCAAAAGCAGGACTGGATCAGTTCACAAAATGTCTGGCGCTTGAGTTGGGTCCTGAAGGAGTCAGGGTTAATTCCGTAAAGTAAATTTTAGAAAAATATTTTTGATTTAAAAAATTTTCACTGAATATCTTTTCAGAAAATAAGATCTTAACTTCTTAATTCTAGTCCTGGTATAATCATCACCGATATACACAAAAGATCCGGTATGAATGATAAGGATTATCATGAGGTAAATTTTTGCGAAGCTATTTTATGCAGAACCAGGTAATTTAATGGTAGTACATATATAAAAGTGTGTCAAAAATGAATATATAGGACTACAAAAATTGATACAAAATAACAGTACACAATTTTTCGAACGTACTTTTTTTTTAATTAGGAAAATATCTACTTCAATCAGTAATTCTTTTTTAGTTAGTTTCTGTTTAATAAATAACTATTCCAGTTTCTTGATCGAACAGCTAAATTTGCCGCACTGGGTAAAACTGGGAGAACTGTGGATGTTGCTAGAGCTATTTATTTCCTAGCAAGCGATGAATCTTCATTTATTACGGGTGATCTGCTTAGAATTGATGGTGGACGAGGCATTATGCATTTAAGATAGTCTTCACCATTTCGATTTCTAAATATTTTTTGTACTTATATCGCAATCTGAAATTTATGCATAATGTGGTTAAAAATTTAGGTAGATGAAATTTTTATAATAAAATGGTATAACATGTTTGGAGATATCCAACAATTCTGAATTCTTGATTGCTCTCACTAGCTGGATAATTTTTCGATGTAACTGGCTAGCTTGATATCTTTTTCCGACAAACCGTTCACATCGTGGCTGCTTAGAGTTACTTCAATCTGAAATTTACTTACTGGTGCTTTATTTTAACTATTACTCTGTACATTTCTGAATAGAGAAGACTTGGATATAAAAAAAGGAAACATCTAACCTTGTTATATATATTGAACCATTCTGGATGATGATCCATTTTTTCTGCATACATTGCTACCTGTGTCATAAAACCAAATGCCTGGAAAAATTCAAATAATAAATTCTCTTAGAGATGATGTTTTGGATTTCTTAGAGATCAAGAGAAGAGGAGAATGAAAATACTTACTTCACTAAAATTCTCGAACCGTAAATTCTTCCGAATGGCATCTCGACCCTCAACCATTTCCCATCCTTTGTCGATTAGCGGTTGCAACAGTTGCTTTCTCTGCTCTTCACTCAACATCTAAATGTGGGTGTCATGACGCTAATAGTGCTGCCAATACAGTTTTATCGTATTATTATGTGCGGGTCAATTATTATGTCCATCAGAGAGCGATCTCAGTTGAGTGATTGACACTCATGTCTCTTTAAAATCCAGCATCTAATGCTACCAGTGTTGCTGACTTCTTGGTCAGGTGTTTAAGCTCATTTGTAATTTAGAATAATTTTCGGGTTATATTTTTTAACTTAGAATGTCTTTATTAACTGTTTGATGATTCGGCGCAATATTAGTGGCCAAAATTGTTGTGAAGCGAAAAGTGTTTTAGTTATAGCTGATAATTAAGAACGGCGACTAAATGATAAAAAACAAGTGATACCAGATGGAGGAAGTAAGCAAAAAACTTAAAAGAATAAGGAAAATATCAATCAAAATGTTTAACAGAATGCAGAAGAAAATCGGCACTTACCATGACGACAACTTTTTGCGTGTGCGATGCAATGTTTGTTCTGCTAGCGAAGCGCCAAATTATTGGTATGGCCATAAATTTGAGCCAGTTATTATCTTCCTTTTTAGTCTGCAGTTTAAAAAGTGTCACTTGCATGCACTCAGTAGTCTGCTTTTCACTCAAGATTTGACCATTCATCTTTGTTTTCAGCAATCAATATACTGGGGACATTCACACTAAGAAAAAATTGTTTCTTCATACCTATTAGTTTTTTGTTCTCCTAAGTTAGCCAATTAGTACTACTAAAGTTTTCCTATCTGCAGAGCCATTTGTTAACGCCGAAAATACGACCTATTTCCGGAAAGAACCTTTATGGGGAAAAACATTAAGCGATTGACAGAATGGTTTATATGAAAATTATCCACGGACACCAAGTTTTCACCGTTTATCACACCAAACCATCCTCCACTTCGTTGGATCCTTGCATTCATTCGCAATTTTTATAACTTTCTAAAGAACTCTCATCATCAGTCATTGCAAAGAATATCTCCAATAATGTTCTGAATTTCACCATTCTTTCTCCGGTCTTTTTTATTCGTTTGTCTTCTCTTATCCCTACGGTTCCCTTCATACTTCCCTTCGAGTTACGTCGACAAAAACTTCGATCTTCCACCTTCTGCAGCTATCTTCCTGTGCGTTACACGAGAGATTATACTTTTTTCGCAACTTGTCTTTACAAGACTTACACTTATACTGCTTTCTTAAGCTCACTAAGTCTAAAAGGAGAGAGAGAATTCTTGACATTAATCACTCGCTGCTTACTTCATGATATCAAATCAATCACTGCTTTCCATCCTCCTCATATTCCATTCATTCACTTATCGTTCATACATACTCACGTCACGTCACATACATCATACACTTCCATTGACCTTACGCATTTACTGCTATTGATAACAATCAAGAACTTTGAGAAATTGAAAATTTGAAGATAGCTTAAAGAGCTGAAGTAATATTTCATGAAGCGGAAAAATTGGAAGAAGCATTGTAGGAATAATGCATAATGAAAGGAATCGGCAATGTGGAAGTCGACCTATTTTTCCACTTTCTTTCTATTGCATTAACTGTTATGAGTTATTGTTCCTGAAAAAGTAATAAAACAAATTTTAATCATTTGAAAATGGAACATAACAACTTACTATTGCACACTTAACAACTTACTATTGCACACTTATTTCAGTTAACAACTAAACGAGTGGAAAATGCTCTTCAAAATCGGTAAATAGGATTAGCTAACGTCCAAAAAAAAATCATTTAACGCTGTAGTTTATTGTATTCAATTCAAACAAACACTTTGAATTTCAAATATATGCAAAGTTGTGCAGCTTAGGTCTGCAAACCAGTATCTCACTTTTCAAGTAATCTTTTTTTTAAGTCCCATGAATTTGAATATGAAACTGCATTCATAAAAATAAAGAAATGAAACAACATCGACAAGTGTTAAGTGATCTAGAAGCAATAAATAATCATTTTAATCGAAGTATTGCAGTTGCCCATATAGAAATAACATAACCTTTATTCTAATAAAAATTCATAAAAACTAAGTACTAAGATACAAATAGTAAGTGGTAATAAAAATCATTTTCGCAATTTCTTTTAAAAATTTATGTACATTCAAGATTTTAATTCACTTAATAACTTATCGAGATCTGCATCGCCCAATTTATTCGACGGTTCATTGGCGGGAGCAATAGAAGAACAAATTTGCGGTGCTTTTGACAACTAAACAAAATTCATAAAAAGCTTCCGCATTTTTGCTTAAATTTCAAGAAAAGTAAATGATAATTCCAAAAATAAAATTATCGGCTTTTTCCAACTAATAATACTAAAAAATCAACGAAAATGCAATTTTCACCTTTGCATTCAAATCTATATCAATTTCATTCAAAACTTGTCTAATAATTGCGGCTTGTTCTTCATCATCATCCGATTCTTCTAGCATCGCATCAAATGCATTCGAAACCATCTGAAATTTTCAAAAAAGTTGAAAAAGTCGATGAAATAATATTTAATTTGGGAATTAAGTTGGGACAGCGAAAGGTAGACACATCATCAATATCCCAACAAATCCAATTCACGGAATGTTGCCATGTTCGTAGTAGATTTTTTCGCGTTATTGAGACGTAATTCAGAGCAAAAATAGCTATCCTAGATTCTGATATAATTAGTCTCATTACTTAATAAAAAATTTCAACTATCCCTTCTTTTCGAATATGAACCACTAAAGCAGTAGTTAGAAGCATACACAATTTCTTTCACCTGTTAAACTTCATCTTCATAATGTTTGCGATTAGTTCTATTACTTTCTATAGCACTGCATTTGGAAACCTAACAGAACTAAAGATATCGATAGGAATTTCCAAATCGGTGAAAAGACCATACGTCATCAGTCACAAATCGTTCTTGGGTTTCAATGAATTCATAAAAATTTTTAGCAAACTTTTCTGCCGGTAGCTGTTTATTTATTTTTTTCATTACATTAGCTGTTTTTCCCACCGCATTAGCCATTTGTCCTATGCTGTACATTTCTCTGAAAATCAAAATTATTACGAAGTAATGTCTGAAAATCAGAAAAAGACATTATGATATCTTCCAGTTATTTAGTTTTTAGAGCACTTCCATTTTGAGCATTTAAGGATTATGCTGATTTAAATAGTGAAAGTTAATTTGCCCTATCACAATCGCTTATCTCAGGTATTTTAACAATGTTAGATAGCTAAAAACTTAAATAAAATTTGATGCATAACTACTATAAAGTACTAATGAAAACCTAGTCTTCGCGCTGACTGCATTCATATGTGCACTCATATTCAAGTTTTTGGCTTTCTGTTTTCGTAACTGCAACAATTCTTTAACAAGAATATTGCAGGTTTCCTTGTGACCCTGCTTTGCGAGTTTTTTGATTTCCAGTTCCTGGAAAAATGGAACTTTTTTCATAAGTAAAAGATGTGAAGTTTTATGGCAGCAAAATTTAGAAAAAGTTGATTTACTCAAAGAATTCAAAATAATACCAACTCTTTCTCCTTCCTTTCTAGTGACCTGCAATCACCTGCGATTTTTCTATTTGTTTGACGTAAAGCCCTTTCGTTAGATCGCATTGTCTCTGGAATTGCATTAACTTATTATTTTTTTGATATGTTTCTTGATAAATTAATGACTATAAAGTAAATTGCTATTCTTAATTCTGCTTTAAATTTAACATTAAAGGTGACCTGCCTTCAGGATATGATTTCTTGAACCAGGACATATTGTTTTATTTTAAATGTAATAAAATCTGCAAGTAGTGTAAATGAAGGATTATAAAAGGTTACAAGCAAATTTTAAAACACCATTCCAATACACATAAAAAGAGTTTATGAATTTCGCAGTCCATCACGCAGCCATTTTATGGCTTTACGTGAAAGTATTCTTCGATACTGTTAACAATGCATCGTCCGTCCTAACCAGTGAGAACTGCCTCTTGGCAATTAAAAAACAGCGATTATTGCAGCACACGCATGACGATAGAAGGTAACAGGCTCATAAATATTTCAATAGAGATATGGATGATAGAAACAACATTGCAAACGAAAATAAAAGAATTGTGCGCTATAGCAATGGAAACAGGTTTGAATCACAAAGATTAATGGAGTCAGAGAAGATTACAATAAAATTCCCGATGACTGAAAGGAGACTAAAAATGAGCAAGGTAACATTGTCATCATCATCACCATCATCCTATTATCCAGTCACAGTATCGTAGTTACTCACCTTTCTTAGTAACACCGGCCAATGCCCAGTAACACGGCAAATATGTTGATTTATAGTGTTAAATTTCAGTAATTCGATTACGAAATGAAAAAATTTGATTCCAAGAAAAATATAGTGCAGATAATGGACAAGAAAAGTAAAGTGGTACCAAATCTTTGTCAATTACAAATTGACAAAAATCGAAAATTGAAACGCACGTGCCACTAACCACCGATCAACCAGAGAAGACTGCTGATTAGTGCACAAAAAGTTGGAGCAGCCCACAAATTGGAGATTACTCCGCTGCAACAGATGAGATATTTCACAAACCGAAAACAGTCTTGCTGTAGAATTTGGGTGTGCGTGGTCGTTTGGACACTTCTGGGAGAAGTGGGGGGGGCGAGGGGGGGGAGGGCTGTTGATTTTTCCCATGCGTTGAGGGGGAATTCCAAATGATCATGATAACAAACTTAGCGGATTTGGCATAATTTTATCTGCTATGGAAATGTTGAGCTACTCTAGCACCAGATTCTTCCGAAATTGTACCGGTAAATCAGGTTTAGTTTACCAAAACTTAATGAGTCATTAGGATCATTCAGAATTGGTTAGCTACAGGAGAATGCAAAATGCAAATATTAAAGAGCAAGTACTAGAATGTTTATAGCAAAATTTGTTTCTTGATTGAGTTGTCGACATTTTCTCGAAGGTTTTCAGTTTATTGCACTAGGAAAATGGCGACGGGGATGCCAGCAGATGAGGGTGATATTCGTATCGAAGAAGATGATATTTTGGATAATGGCAGTGATTTACACACTTCCACGGATCATATGAGTGAAGATCCAGTAAGTTTGATTAAAGTTTCACTGATATCTTCTTAATCAATGATATTCTTCCATACTTAAATAAATAAGATTACCGATTATAAGCTAAACGGACTCAGCAGACTGTTATTCGAGTTGGTAATGGTATAATTTTATTCAGAAGTTACCAAAATAAGTTTGCTTACAAAATTTTCCACGATGCTATCTAGTAAATCAGTGTTCTAGATTATGTTATGCATGTCTTAACATGTGTATTTGAGGATATGGAGGCATTAGCAAATCGTATGAAAGAAATTGAAGAAGAAGCTCAGTTAATACGCCAAATGCAAAGTGATGTTGAGAAACAAATGAATATGAGCACCGGCAGTAACACTTCTCAAAGTGTGGCTTCGATTGAAGATAAAATTGAAACAGATAGTAGATCTGTTTACGTGGGGAATGTATGCTCTTGCATTTTCGTTCATATTTTAATTCTTTAACTTTTAAATCTTACTGCATTGTTAAGTTTCTGTATAAAAAACTCATTACTTCAAAAAATTTTACATTGTGCCATTGTTATTGCAGGTTGATTATTGTTCGACTGCAGAAGAACTAGAAGCTCATTTTCATGGATGCGGTTCCGTAAATAGAGTAACAATCTTGACAGATAAATTCACAGGTCATCCAAAAGGGTATGTGTGCTTATTAGTTTGCTTTATATCATACGAAATCTTAGGTCATAAAAACATGTTGAATTTTTAGGGCATTTGTTATATCCCAAAATATGCATTGACTTAAATTTCATGTGTTATAGGTTCTTTTCATTTTCATTTTATAAATTAAAGAAACGATTTTGCAATGACTTCAGATGACTTTTATAACTTCAAATTATTTATAACATTTAGGATATTTTTTGGTTTGGTTATTAAGTAAATGACTAATAAATTATGTTTTTAGATTCGCCTATATTGAATTTGCTGATAAAGAAGCTGTGCAAACTGCTCTAGCTCTTGATGAATCATTGTTTCGTGGCCGGCAAATTAAAGCTAGTTTTTTTTGCGAAATTTCTATTATACATGGTAGATAGGTATATTTCTCTCTTCACCCTGGAGTTAATACGTGAGTAGTTTTTAGGTTTGTGCTAAACGAACAAATCGGCCTGGTGTAAGTACCACAAACCGACCACCGCGCGCACGAGGTCGTGGAGGCACGCGAGTAATTGTGAAATACATCTACGCTGGTTATCGGGCTAGACGACCTCCAAGGTAATATTTTACAGCAACTGAAGTGTATTTACAGGTTTCATATTTTCAGCTGCAGATTTCATTATTTACGTTTTCTTTATTTTAGATCCATACTTTCAATTCGAATTCGATTTTTTTTCCCAGTGTCGATTTTATTTATTATAGGCGTCGTGGGATTTTCGCGCCATACTAAACATGGTTTTGAAGCTGTCTGAATAGGCAGAAAAATCATCAAGTCATATAATGTTTGAATCTGGCGTGTAGGACTTAGTGACGTGTTTCCGTTACAATTTGCTACCCATATTTTTCACACTTTGTTTGTTGTATTTTGTGGATTAGCTGTTGCTGTTTTCCAGATTTTTCTTTTTGAATCAGTTTTTCCTCCTTGAAAGATCTGAATGAATTCCGGTCTGATTTTAGATTGAAATTATTTATTTAAAGTAGAGTTAGTGACCTTTTCGATCACTATTATTTACGTAAAGTTCTATGCTGTTGATCTATTCGGCTGAAGCAAAATGCATAGCAGTTTCCTAGTTTTTTTAATCGAGGAAACTAAATTGTCGACTTAAGTTAAAGTGAATTAAGATATCAAGCATACTGATGGTTCGCCATTTCTTTTTGAAAACTAAGAAGTACAAAATTCATTCGTTTTAATTGTGGTTGTTCTATCTTTTACTTTGCAATAAAAAAAGAGATCACTTGGTCCCTCTATTGTACTACGTAATATACACCTCATTTCTCTCAACACCACAATCTACGGTTTTATGTATTGGTCGGTTTTTAATGATAATAATGTTGCATCATTACTGTTTTCATAACTAGAAAGATTTGTTTTATAATCTAAGAGTTTTAGTTTTCTTTGGAATTGCTCTTATTCTTTTCGTAGTTTTTATAATTTAATTACATTTTAATTATGCTGTCATCGACTCTAACTGTTTAACAGATTGATCATGGCCATTGTTATTGTTGTATAAGAATATGGATATTTGAATCAAATTTGCTTCATTTTATTCAAGAAAATGTTGTCTCTCAAGCATAAACATTACGCATTTAAAACAAAAATTTATATCTTTTTGGTAGTATTTAAGGGAAACTCTGGTAAAACAAATTTTATAAATTCTGAAGACGGAATCATTTTCTTCCCTTTCTCTTCTTTTCTCAACTTTTTCCTTATAATTAAACTGTTTTCAGTATCCGTGAAACTTTACTTTGGAAAACAAAAATATTGACAAATCATTTTAAAATTGTTCATCATTTTTCTGAACCTTAGGATTTCTTGATCGGGAACAATCGAAATATTGGGTGAAATTGTGACATGTAGATAAGATGGTCAAAATATTTTGAATAACATAATAGAATTTTTAGAGAAAAAAATACTCAAGGAACGCTAGGGCATTATCGCTTGTATTGTATACTTTCAATGTATATTGCATTGTATATTTTTTCCCAATTATTCATCACTATTCGTTTGAGGTTGGGCGTTGCACAGCAGGTGTTCTTCATGTTAGATGGCGAAGAACAGAGGGGCAATCTTTTCTAAACTTATTAGATTAGATATTTTGATTTTGAGGCTTATATGGCTCAATCTAACAAGCACCGGAATAGTCTTGTGGGTTTTATTTTTAATTTTAAATATGGACCATTTTGTGGATCATTTTGCACATTTTATTTGCTTTTGTGGATGAATATAAAGGAAAAAAAGTTTCTTAAATGTTGGGAAAAGAAGCTTTTTCAGAAGTTTTTTTAAAACGGGCCATAAGAAATAGTCGAATTTTTAAACTGGAAAAGGTAAAATTTAATTTTTAGATAGAATTGAACATTGTTCTAAACACAGATTGGATTGAAATGAAATCTAAGCTAAAACGTAATCGATTCAACATATGCCAAATATGCAAAGTTTTATTATTAACATTCTGAAATTTGGGTTTTTGATTAAATTTACAGTTCGTAACAACATAACGTTTCAAATATCAGTTCTGAGTACGAAAGTTACTCGTAATAGGATTATAAGTCTTCATTCAAAAAATTCACAACAGCAAAATCTAAAATAGAATTTTAAACTGCAATTATTCGTCATTAGCACGAAGATTTTGCTTACCAGGTCATTATATTTAGTGAGGAGTTATTCCCTTCTATTGTTTATCGATGCAATAAAAGCACTGTATAGAGTACCACAACCTGATAAATATGGAGTACCATTCAAAGCTCAACGTTAGCCAATATGTAATAATTGTTTGTGATTATCACAACATATATAGGTGACTTCCTGGTTAATGTCACTTTTTCGTTATAATTGTTTTCAACGAACCAATTAGCTCCGATTCTTTCTCTTTTCCTTTTCACATAAACATAAATCATATTTGATTGCTTTAATGGCTCATCCATGATTGATAGCTTATGAAATGCATGAAATGATTGACTTTTACATCAAAATCGATTGATAAAAACGTTGAATTAATGATATTTCGATGATTGGTAATGCTTCAAGTATTAATATCAAGTAAACTGATTGAAATCATAAAGACAATTGCATATTGATGAAAGAAGTGCCACCATTTCAGCACTTTGTCATTATTCATTACATATCTTCAATAGAATTTCTAATAGAAAATTCAAATTCTCGAGGTATTTAAAGAATGAGAGGAGAGAATAGGATGAACACTTTCTAATGCCATCGATTTTCGCACGGTTGGGCAATTTTCATTATATATTGATCCTTAAATATATTATATTTTAAATGCTTCATTTCTAACTGATTCTAGTAAAGGTTTTAAATATGCACGAATTCGCTTATAATGAAATGAGAGAAGCTCGGAATGAGATAAGCATTAGTGATGACTGATTGTATGAGCCAGTTGAATAATGCCCTATGCTTCATGCTTCAACTCCCTTCCCGATCATCTAAACTCCACGTATCTCTTAACCGAGTCAAGGGACATATTACACTCCTCTCTCTCCCTCTATTTCTTCTACCCGACTATTCCGCATTAACCGGTTCAAGAGCAGGACACTTGGATTACAAAAACCGCAACTTCGTCTAGCTAGAACTCATTCTTTTATATGCTGCACTTAGATTTATTGTTATCAACTCGTGTAAAACCAAAATTATTTAAACTGTACGAATGAATTCATTTAAAAAAAACTTTTATTTATACAGTTTATATCAATATTTTTCAAATTAGAAGAGATAAATATTTTGCTATTAGAGAAGCATAAATTCACTTGAAATCAATAGCGTGAAACTGTACAATTTCATGCCTCAATATCAGTAGAGTATTTCAATTTCTTAATAACGTACGTTCATATACAGTATTATTTCCATAAGTTCAAAATAACTTATAAATAACTTCTTTGAAAAGGAATTTAATTTCATTCCACTCATCATCAAAATATTCTTCAGAGAGATATTTATAGGGGAGTAACGCTCGTGATTCATTAGATATGCCGAATACACTAAACTGCTTACAAAAACATGGAATACCATCTCTAAAGCATTCCGCTCAGTCAGCCGATGATCTTAACTTTAGCATAACAAGTAAGCAGAAGCATGATCTTCTCATAATTTTTGATAGAACATGTCAAATTACATTTCATAAAGAAAGTGACTGAAAGACTGAATCTAACTCTAATATTTTTTAATTAACCTGGAAATTCAGAAATAAGATAAGGGATAAGGTCATAGATAATTTAAACTAAATTAAATTTTAATCCAAAACTCTCATGGAAATAATTTACATACAGTATGTACATAGTAGTAACAACATAGAGCACAATTTAATTAAGGAAAAGTGGAAATTCTACGAAGCTTCAGTAAAAATTTCGAACATAATTGAAGAATGAAGAAAGTTTAAAACTGCATTTTTTTCCAATCTTCAAAAGGTGTATTAACATTCACAAATAAGATGAAGTCTTCAATATAATCAGAACCTATGAGGGCAATTCAGTGACATCGAACAAAAGGAAAAGAATTATTATTTCTTTTCCGATGCCTCTTCATAGGTTGATGCTTGCTACTCCTCCAATGACCAACATTATATCCGTCATCATCATCATCATCATCATCATCGTCATCGTCATCGTCATCATAATCATCATCATCTGGAAATGAATTTGAATCACTTACCCGGTCCAATTCTTCTTCCTGATCACCATCATACTGCGAATTGTAATACCATCTGGCTGTTACTCCATCCCACTAAATAATTTTGATTTATTAAATTCACAAAACTAAAAAACTAAAGAAACTAATGCTAATCGCTTTTCGATTTTATTGATTTTCGTTGTTTGTTCCGGAAGCTTGGAACTTTTAACACTACAAATAATGAACAGTGAAGTGATGTCGGAATCACAAATAGTTGGTCGCAAAACTTACTGAAACAGTAATAATTTCGTTTTCATCAGGATGCCAACAGCAATCACGTACTACGCTTCTATGTCCATCCAGCGTTCGCACAATTTCCCCCGTCAAAATATCATAAACTGCAAAACAAAATTATTCAATCTTTTAATACTAAATATAATAATTAGCAGATATGATATCACACAGGATTCATTTGATATACTAAAATATTAGAATTCAAAAGACAAAAACTAACTGTGCAAATTTCCTTCTGTGCTACCGGTATATATATAACGAAAACCAGTTCGTTCCGGTGAAAACTTGGCTCGAATGAGAGTGTGCTGCACTGAATGCCCTCGAAAAGTCAACAATGATCCATCATCTAAAATGTTTTAGGCATTATTAATTCTCATTCAACAGCAAACATTACTCCATTTAGAATAATAATATTTGCCTCAAAACAAGAAAATATTTTTTCAATATGTTCGCCTAATTCCTAATATTTTGCTGTATTTTTCGCTATGTCAATTCTAACGTCACGATGTCATTATATCTCAATTCTAAAAAGATGGTTTTTATGAAGAATGAAAGGACTTTAATATTGTTAGCAACGAACTAAGACCTTGCAAAGGTCCCACTGATTGGAAAATTGGCGGTATTTGCTGATATCTATAATCCCATCTCTGTTTTCGCACTGCATTAAGTGTAACCTTCTAAAAAAATTTTTCACAAAATTAGAAAGAAATGACAAAAAATGCTTCAATAGGCCTAACTTTGTCTACAACAATCTTTTTTATTCAATTGCGGCGATTTGTTGTGTACTCCATAACATACCCTGTAGCATAGAAAACGAAAAATGTTCAGCATTTAAAACCACTTCATCTTTAAATGACAGACAATATTGCTGACTGAATTATATTATCCCAGCATATTATAAACTGTGGAACATATACATATATATACACCATATACACCTTTCGCTCCTCCCCTTCCTTTTCATATGATGGCATGACTGCAAGTCAGAGGTAGTATATTGGCTTTCCATTAACGGAAGACAATCATCAACTACTAAAACTGCTCTCTTTAAAATCACATTCTTTAATTTTTTTCAACCACTAACAAAGTTATCAATAAGTCAAACAAATTATATTATTTCGCCCGAACGGAATAACTTCCACTTAATTAACTTGAAATTTAGAGATAAACATACATTAAGTTGTGCTTTGATACTATTTACTTATTGTCATTTAAACTCAACAATTAAATGTGCTCTCTGAAGAATCTTATTTCGTAATCTTTCTGGTTAGATCGAAATAAGAACTGATAAAAGAGTAAGGGGAAATAGAAATACCTCGGCATTACTTGAAGAAAATCTTCGTAAATCCCAAATCTTAATTGATTGATCTTTGGAGTTTGTCAAGATATATCTATCATTACCGTGACTATCAATGTAAGTGATACCATCACGATGTCCTGCGAATACACCAACAGGAATCCTGGTACTTCCAACCAAACGGATATCCCATACCTATATAAAAGAACAAATATTCATATCAGAAACTCCGATGAAAAACAACAACACATTTTCCATTTGTAAACTGATCAACACCGCTATTTAAATGGAATTTGTAAGCAGATTATAAATGTTAAGCATATAAAATCTCAGATTTGAACTTTAAGTCTAAATTTATTCCTAATTATTTAGTGTAGAGCTGATAAATTAACAAGAATGAAACTTAATCCCACTGACTTCTTCAAATTTTATAATGGCAGTAAGCAAATGCCACTCATTCATCGGCTTTTGGTCTAGCACATACTATTTTGTAAAGTTGAATGATGGAATAAATACTTATTCTTTTTACCCTTTTTACTGTAATAAATTCAATCACCTTACAAAGTCCGTCGTCACTTCCGCTACAGAAAATATGCGGATTAGCTTTACTGCAGCAAATTGCATTGACATCATCCTTATGCGCTGGGAACTGTAACAAGACTAAAAATTGTCTCAAATCTCCAATTCGAAATTATATATTTGTATTTTTGATATTTTTATATCGATAAAGTTTCCATAAAAGAAATAGCAAATAACGGAACCGAATTGTCAGCTGTACATTTGTTGGATGACTTAAAAGTATTCTTCCACATTAGAATATAATAAGCTTGAATCATTTAGTGTGTTTTCAGCTCAGAGACACCTGTCCATGCTTTAAGAATTTCTAGCACATCATTTCAAACATTCTGATAGAATTTTAAGTGAGAAGATCGGAAAACAATACATACCGTTTGGAAATGAGGTAGCGCAGGAGAAAACAAGTATACAAAACCATCCGATCCACCGGCTATAACATACTTGTCATCCATGTTATATCGCAAGGAAAAATATGCAAATCTGAAACTGCATATCATTGAAAACTTTAAAAAAAACATTGTATAAAAAATGATAAGTAAATTTTGGCAAATTTTGGATTAAAATTACAACAAGAGTCGGAAAATTACAACGATAGGAAGCACACAATGTTTACATATTTGATCCTGTCTCCAGATAATTTTAAATTGAAGGGTCTTTAAAATTTGTACTAAATCAAAATAACAGTTGTACACGAAAAAGAGAAGAGATAGAAACACTTTACCTATTGGAACGTGATGGTAGCTGTTCTACTCCAGTGAATGTATTCCAATGTAAATGGTCGCTCAATTGATCGACAGTAGTATAATGAACTGTAAAATCAAAATTATTTAAAGATTTTTTGTTACTTAAAATAAAATTTCCACTTTCTCTTATGAAATTATCGAATATTGATAAATTAATATTTTTCCCTAATTTTTTCAACAACAGATCTATTTTCACTATGTCATGGTCATAAGAAAAAAACTCTTGC